GGCTATATCATTTAGCCTATTACTCATGATGAAATGAGTTTCTGAGTTCAAGATCAAGTTTTGTATTTAATCAGATTGTACGACTAAGATAATATACATTTGTTCTAGTAACGCTGATATTTTCAGCAGTAACATTGCTACTTTGACCTAGATCGGTTATGTTTACACTTATTTATGTGTTTAAGAGTTATAAATATTTTTTCATTGTTTTCTATTTAGTTTGAAGAAGGTAAATATACTTTACTGAAGAACGGAACAAAGGTGTTTTTTATGATTTTTTTGGAAAGGAGACGGCTGTCTCTTATGATGACTTTAAATAGAATAGATTTGTTTTGTTAGGTAATTATGGCATATTTATAAATAAACTGTGGTAAAAGGGAAGCAAATATGAGTGTAAGTAAATATTTCGTGTACAGCTTAATGGAAGTACAACTTAATGGAAAAGCAAATGTAATATTGTAATTTCAATCTCTTCACAGCTGTGTTTAACCATAGGATTTTGTTTACATACGTAATTGTCATCCATCATTCACTAACCATTCTTTATGCACTGCTGCGATGTGGAGTCGAATTAGTTGAATATTTGAGCATTCCAGATTTATCGTAACATGTCATTCTTTTGATGGGCGCTACAGCGAATATTATCAATGAAAGATTTTCTTTTGGTGCTATGATGTTTCTTCAAAACGCACGTTAGTAAAATGTTAGTGTATAATTGACATTATCAATAGAAATGGTCTGATGGCGCCCTCGTTTTCCCTTATACGACCGTGGCTTCGAATCTCCCATTTGACATAAATAGAAGGTAGTAGGTCACCTGAACGACCAGCAAACATCACAAGATAGATAGTGTTTTCGGTGTTGTATCATTTACAACTACAAAACATTATTTGATGAAACAGAATTGTTTGTTCAAACCTATAATGATAGCATGTTGATATACATACACAATGTCAAACTGTATGTTATGTTCTGTATCTGTATACATACCTGACTATACCAACGTACATTATCAACGACCATAATCATAACAGTATAAATTACAAAACAAACCTTTTTTAAATGTATATAATCATCTTTCTGTCGTCACTGTAAAAAAATGTAAAATTAATCCGGACAAAAAAATTATTCTGTCAAACAAACAAAGAAAATCGATTGCATATCCAAACAGTGCCATCAAAGAAATCATTTCTTCCAAACAAACCAAACCCCACAATATGATCAAACGGTACCGCGAACGTTTAATATATCATGTCAGAAAGACCTTCACATGACAAGCTGCAATAGATATAGATAATTAAAACGGACAGCCTGCACAGACAACACTATATATCAACGCTTTAACCATTTTTATTTGGTACTATTTTAACAAAGATGTAAAATTATATTAGACTATGTGTCGCCAGACATTAACTGTTGATAGCGAGAATTTTACATTCATTTGAATAGTGACACATGACACAGAATATATACAAGTAGTTGTCAGTGACGTCATGTTGAAATTCGATAATGAATGACAATATTCATTGAATTATTGGGTTAAAGCAGCTTCTTTCCAACTATACAGTTGTCATTTTCTGTAGCCACTTCCTAGGATTCAACACTAAAGGATTAAAGGCATCTAACATCACGGATTCGTCCTGAAAGGTTAATATACTATTTCATGATTCATCCAATTGACCATTGAATGCTGCTAATTATTCGAGAGACTTTTGTTCAACCCTCTGATACTTAAGAATGAACACATTCACCCGTTGATCAGTTTTGTTCTGTTGCCACTAACCGTTATCTTAGATTTGATTATGGTCCTTAAAACTCACATCTTCCTCTCGTATCTTACTTCCAGTTGTATCAGTTTCCGCATAGATAGAAACATAGTAAGATTTACACAAGAATTGCTTACTTTTAAACTTTTAAAGTATATGTAGTACTTGTGAAACAAGCATTGAATATTTCAAACACTATTTTCTAATCGGGTGACTTTTATGCAACATTTATGATTCACCTATTCCTTCAAAAACAATGTCACATCTAATTGAACTAAATCATAAATGCTTTACTAAAATCACTTCAAAATTACGAAGATATCATCATCATCATTATCATTATCATCATCATCATCATTATCATCATCATTTCTGTTTTAGATGTGTAATGTTAAGTGCTACAGTCTACGCTACACGTTGCATCAATACTTCACTTTGTAATTTCTTATTCTCGGGATTTTTTTAATTCGATAAAAAAAACAGCGATAAACACAATAAGTTGATACAGATGAGAACAACCCAAAGTGACAGAATAGTGAATGGACAGCAGGTGGAAGACGCTGCTGGTGGGCGTTTAGTCCTCGAGGTTTGTAATAACCTGCATGTCTCGTTTTAATTCTATCGAATGGTTGCATGGTATCTATAATCAGGTATTAAATGTTCAGTAACTTCGGAACATACAGTCAAAATATTCCCTGGATCATTATGTCACTACAACTATGCTGATTATAAACTAATTCTTTGATAAGGAATATATTGCACTGAGAAATGGACAACTGTCAATGGTGTCGTTATTATTGTTTGTGTCTATAAGGTATACAGATATTCGTATCCGATGCCTGTATTAGATTATGTTGTAACAAGCTCATGACATGCGCCTGGTAGAAAATTCGTACAAACAATTTATAATGTAGTTTTATATCATTTTTGTTTTCTAAATTTGCATAATATGTTCTTGAAATTTGTATATACAATATATTGGTCATCAATTTTTCTGTTAACACACCAATTACAGGCTGTTGAACACTGACTGGATATAGATATTTATTAAGCAACTTTTTTAAAGTTTACAATGTATTGCATTTCATATTGATAGTCCGGTCGTTCGGACTTATTGTATCGAGCCACAGCCAAAATACAACACCGACAATTCAGAATATCGATACTGACTGTCAATATTTATTCAACACGTTTATCAACTGCTTTGGTGTCACAATACACCAGGCATCGAAAAATTCCTTATCAAATAACAGTGCTTAGTCAGCCTGGGTCAAACGATTCGAATAAAACTCCCTCTGGCTTATCGAACTTATTGGCCGTCAATCATCACAGTGTAGCTGGTCAATGTCCGAAATCTTCGTAGCAACTGGCCGACTATTGATACTTCACTACTGTCGTATACATGTTCACACGATGTAGGTATTGTCTTATATCGATCCTTAAGTGCAGACATCCGTCAGGTGTTGTATGCTAAGCGAAGGTACAGACAGGTATAATGCTTCCTTAGTTACATCAAACATTTTACCTCTAACACCCTACCTTGATCCTAATAGACATACACATTCGACCGTCTATGTGTAAAACACGTCTTGATTAAAGGCGCTAGTTTTTCAGCTGTCAGGTTTTATATCATTACTTATCGACCTCAAAATTAAACAGGCTTGACTTCCTATTGTTTTTAGGTTAATCAATTTTCAGTTTTTATTCTGAAGGCGAATGTTTCATTGTTTAGAGATAACGTTAGTCGATACTCTCTGTTTTCATTAATGTGTAATTATGCTTAAAGGGGTGGGGTGGGTGGGTTCAAACTGTTTTACATAGTTAAATATAAAATGAGATACGTCATCTATTTGTGCCGTATTTATAGGTCTTTCAATAATTGAATAGATAAAATGTCGTATGGAATATGTGAAATAATTTCTAAATTCATGATGATTAGTTATTAAATAATATTGACGGACATACTAGTCTTATATACCATATACAAATAAGGTAATTGTAGTGGTGGTCCTTTATTATCTAACGTTTTAGTTTCTGAAACACTATAAATAATAATGGAATGGAATCCTAAAGTTGTATTTCTTATTTTATTAAATGTTTATGAAACGTTAAAATACTTGTATAATTCTTATTCATTAGCGCAAGTTACTGGATATAAATATTCTTTTGGAAAAAACAGATGTGTGTACGGTAGACATAACATGTCAATGTATTTCTGATATTATGAATCCTGTATCATCAAGTTTCATCTCCTTATAGTGAAACATAAAAGTCATCCATGAGCCATTGGTGTCTTCATTAAAATCGAATTTGAATGTTAGATATAAACGGTATATGATTCACAATTTCTCCGTATCATATACACAACATTACATGATGCTTATTAATTTTTGGAAGGAAACCAATTCGAAAATTTGACTTCTGGCGCCGCTGAGCTGTGTACAACTGTCAGATCTCGTGAACCAGGATAACTCGATAGCGGGATTGGATAGGATTAACAACCACACGCCTTTAAAGGGGATTTATTTACATATTATATCAAGTCTTACGCACGATAATGGTTTTAAGAACAAATTATTTCTATATACCCTACGTACCGTGTGTGTACTAAGAACTTAAGTTTGCCTCATAAACCTATCGACATTACGCCTAGTTTGGTGGGGTTCTCCTCGAGTGCTTTCTGAGATCCCGTTATAATGCACTTACCTCGATTTGTATACGTAAACCCACCGTATGGTATATATCTATATACATTGATCCGAGTCTATCAGATTAGGTAGAAAATAGTATAGCTTAAATGCCCGAAGCTGTCACAATAGACCAGCGCTCTGTGTTTCTATATATCGACTGTGTTTGGTGTACGAGGCTCCCATAACAAAACCGGGTATCGTGAGGGCAGACTAGTGCTGTGTGTTAAGTATTTGTGGCAGCTGTGAAGTCTGACACGGTGTTGATACATTTATATTGAAGACATGATAGTACTCTGACACCAAACACATGACATAGTGTCATGGTTTAGGATCAGTTCAAACATTTGGACGTTCGATATTTCGGAACTATATTTACTGTCTGTGATGGTATTGTGGTGACTCCAGAAACATTCAAATTATTTTCTTGTGACATATATCGAACAGCATGAAACCAAATGATATCAAACGTATATACTAGTGTTCTGGATAATATATTTTGAAACGATACACCGTATTTTATCTTTTTATGTGAAACTCTTTCAAAATGTTGGACCAGCCGCAGCGTTGGGCTAATTTGACAAATTTCGGAAATATTCCAAGCATGAAAGAAGCTTTGATGAGCAAACAACAATCTGATCGTAGATTATTGAACATGAAGCTAAAACAAAGGGCTTTAACGGGCAAACCCCAAAACAAGAGGTTTGTATCATCTGCTTCTACTTCACAGGGACGTGAACCACGCCGGTATCCCATGGAATACTCTCGCGAAGACTCGACGAGAGCAGGAAAGCAACATCAAGCACTCCGTAAACAGTTGGAACAACGAGTACACAATGCTAGGATAGACAGTGGCAGTTTAAGACAATACAGCCTTGGTCTGTTTGACAGTGTTGTGCAGAATCTGAACAAAAACGATTCTAATTACAAGCCAAAACAGCAAACAAGTACTTTGTATCATGCTAACGAGGAAAAAGACAAAAAACCCATCCGGCCACAAACGGCAGGTCACAATGGACCCTCATATGATGGCAGTCTTCTTTATAACAAAAGAGGAAAGGTCTTGAATTCCATTAGGCTAAGGCCACAGTCTGAGCCTGTAGGCAGGTATAACCACGTGAAAGGAAAGATTGTACCTCCAGAGATACAGAAGACACTATGTCAGAGCAACAACGAGTTCCGTGTGCTGACCTCTCCTATGCCCATACATCCTCCATCTCCAAGGTCAAGGTCATCATCAATAAGTGATTTTAAGCTGGTGCCATTAAATGGAACTGGAAGTATTTCAGAAATTTCTTCAGTCCATGACTTTAACACTGATGGGGCTGTACGTGTTGAACTGAACAGTGAGAATGGATTTGTTGAATTGGACGAGTTGGAAACCTCCAGAACTTCCTCCCAGATATCCAATGACATTGCATTCAGAACGAGGAATATGCCGTCAGGCACTGTCCACTTTTACTCACTAGAATACGAAAGTTCAATTGAGGAATCCATCCCGGATGTACCACCACCAGCTGAGGTTAAGCCACCTCCTCCTCCACCAGAAGAACCGAAGGCCAAGGCAAAGAAGGGCAAACAAAGGTAAGTTATCATGATCTTCCGTTTATAATGAGTTTATTACATAGATGCATGTTTAACTCATAAAAATATACGCATTTTATGCAAGTCTGATCATTTCAATCTATTTGGTGAAAGTCATATAGTTTATATAAAACGGTTATTTCATTGCAATGCCGTATAAACATGTGCATTTGATGTCCAGTCACCTGACTTATATTTTCATTCACTCTTCAATTCAATTTAATTGTCATTACATGATCGAAAGTTGGTATGGGTTTCTTACATTTCATTACCGAAATATACATCGGTTTAAACTTTGAGATTTCCTTGACTCTTTCAGCTTTAGTGTAACTCTACTCTGGCTAACACATCTATTTTTTTTTCTATTATCTTTATGATTTGACGACAAACGTTAACTTTTGCAAACAGAGGATAAGAAATACACTGTCTATCGATTGAGTAGTACGAGTAATACTGATTCGTAACCATATCTCGGAATGTGTTATTAAAATAAATAAAGACGACCTTCCACGCAGTGTTATTCTGTGGATATAAGTTTTGTAATAAAATACCACTTCTGACAATCAGTATCGTGACAATCTTTTAAAAGTCAGTTTCCGTTACTAAACCATGGATAAACGATAAGGTCTTGATATCAATTATATCTACTGGAGACGACCATTACGTGCATACATATTAGAAGTAGGTCGGTGTATTCATACAGGGTGATGAGTTTGAAATTGAATATCTGTAAATAGTTTAAATACCCGTAATAATCAGTATTTAAAAAGTATCATTATGATCTGTCATTATTGAAGGCAATTCAATTTCTTATAAAAAATGAAAATATCATGATATAGAATAGATCACAGCATTTCAATAGACAGTAATGCACAGTACTGTCGTATTGAATTCAAGTATACTGAATACATATTCATTGTATTGCTATACGAAATGTGATTAATATTTCAACAATGAGAAAATCCGTGTTAAATGAAAATAAAAAGTGCCAAGGTTTTCTAAACGGAGGACAGGTATATGACCTGAAAACATGTGAGATCAAGTTTTGCATAATATTTGTTATCTTAATGAATTTGGATAGGAATTAGAATTGAATACTTTCTCAATTTCGGGTGATCATTTTTAAACAAATAACAAGCTTTAATTAGATTTGCCTTTGAATGCGAAAATTGCAAGATGATCGATACGAAAATATCGTACTTAAATGATGACTTCATCATTTTGGCAGTAACTAATCGATGAACGATGTTTAGAAAATGAAATGACTTGGTCGAGATATTTTGAAAAGGATAAAAACGCTTATCTCATTTGTTTGATCATATTTAGGCTCGTCCTGAGTTGGTCCAGGGCGGAAATGAGTGGAGGATAATGTTTAAAAAACATGCCTGGTTAGACCCCATTGAAATATTTAGTATTGATTGCTGAGCTACGCCTATATACAGTCTGACATTTTTCAAACCAAGTTAATTTAAAATTTCATAATAAATAACCTTCAATTAATAACATGTCACTGTTAAAAAGGCAAACTGTCAACTTTACAAGAACACCTTACTTTTTATAAATTTTGTGTCGTATAGCACATTTTGTTTCTCTTTGGTATTTTGATGCGTATCTATTTCAAGTTAATCTTAGACATAAAGGAATACGCCACATGTGTTCTTAAATGACGCATGCTTTTAATTCTGAACCACGCGTGTTTCATTTTCGTCATTTGACCCAATGTTGAAGGTTTAGCCATGACTATAATGAATGTTTCAGTGTCAACCAGTGTGAAGGCTAGACATTAAAACTAATCGGGGACAAGTAGGGATCAAATGTACTTCAAATTAAAACCAACATTCAATCACAGGGCGCGGTACATTGATAGTAAGATTGGTGACATTAACTCAATATAGACCAAGTTTTAATTAATTATCTTGATTAAGATATATTACCTTAAATGGTGAAACAGGGGCTGGAATTTTCTAATGTGTGAACCTAAATTATGAGTTCAATCAATTCTGTTAGATGAAAACATGTAGACCATAGTTCCGATTGATAAGATGTGTCTCACACAGCATAGTCACATTACATGTGATAATTATTACATTAGTAGTTAAGCAGTTGAGTCATGATCCGTGGGAGCATTCAGTACCTATAACCGCGGTCAGTTCAGCCGAAGTACAACATGTCACGGGTATTTAATTTGTTCTCTCTGAAATACTGATAATAAATGCTAATTTTAAAACAAACAATAAAAACATTTTAAATTCTCGTTAAAATGAGGCTTTTAGAAATCTAATCCCGATCAAGTTAATTTAATCGAGAAAACTACAGTACTATTGGTTGGTGGTATTTAAATACCATTAAGCTAAATTATCGTCGTTATTTAACGACTACTGATACTAAACAAAACATATAATGAAACTTGATATCTGTTTCAAAATATCGATTAATGCAGGCCAATGTTGTTAACATTAGATTCTCACTGGCTGAAATATAAGATACAAGAGGTAAATCTCTTAACAGAGCGGCAATAGGTCTCCTTTCTATTGTTGATGGTATATGAAAAATATGGCGATTGAGAGGTGCAAGAATGGGGTGGTAACTGATCACAAAAAGTTGTATGTTTTGCTAAATTAGAAATGTACCTCTGTCTATACTATAAATATATATACTGGATTAAATCCCCGCTTATCACGTTTACGGAGATAAAACATATGTGAATATGTGGTCCTATTTCCATAGACACAGTCCGCGCATAACACTTACTTATAAGACGACAACAGCAGGCGGTTAGGTAATCATTTCATAACTTCGGATTTAGTTTATTGATAACATTGTAAGGAAATATTAAACACGTGTAGTTGTAATCTGTCATTACATCAAAGGAAGAATAAGGCTGAACATTTATATGCTATGTCATTTTAAAACAAGTATTGACATGCAAAATAAAGCTATCTGTATCATTTGTTTTTTCCATGCGCAAATATAAACAGTCTGAAATCGAGGCAAAACATTTTAAGAGTACATCTATTTAATTAAAATATTTCATTACCTTCACATAATAAATATGTGTATCAATACTATATGTATCGATACACAATTTCAATTCATATTTTGTACATATATCTATATATATATAAATGTACAAAATATGAATGAAATATCTTTGCCCTTTTTATATCGAATGTTCATGCTTGTGATGAAATTTAATATTTCTATTAAAATCATAAATATAATTTTACGTTAGAACAACAAGGATTTGAAATGTATTGTACTTCACAATCAAAGAATGCGATCAAGAATGGCTCTATTGAATTGTCTAAATTTGGCATGTGTTAACGATTTGTCGTCCGAAATAGATTTTTTATCGGACTATTAGTACGTCTAAAGGACCTGTTTATGACTTACAACAATGATATCGTATACGTGTATCTCCAGGTGTGGCCAGCTATAGACAGGTAAATTAGTAGGTATCCTTTGTTCAATACATGTTGGCAATAATAAATGCATGTTTATGCACATAACACCTTGTTTTTTATAACATGTTTTCCGACAAAACAATATAAATGATTGATTTGATATTATTTTTCAAGTAGTTTAAAGCTTGGAACAAAGACACAAATATATGTTACATTACAGTTGACAGTTGTAATGCTTAATGTTTTAGTGTTTTCTCAACGATAATAACATGGTCAAAAATATCAACAACATACTATAATGTGTCGCTGTAATCAGTTGTCTATCTCAAATAATTATATTCACATTCCAATCGATCAATAACATAAAAACTTTATAACATAAAAACTTTATTGATGATGAAGTCCATGAAACGAAATCAGGACTGTATTGGAATTGATGCTTTATAAATACCAAGATAAGAAAATTAACACAGGAGCAAGTATTTATAGTATGTAACATATAACTAATGGAAAAATTATCATTTATCTTTAAATTTGATGGGAAGTATACACGTATGAAGGTTGCAGTTTTCATCAATATGCCTTTATTCTTCGTGTTCATCGTAATTTGTTAAACAATTAACCTCGAAAATACCAGCTGACATTTTGAATCGATAGTTCTATAATCGCCATGGTTTGGCAGTGATTGTTTACCTCGATAGCCTGTCGAGGTCAGAATAATCAACAATGAATGCTCTGGTAATGCGTTAGCAGTCATATGCTAATAGCCGATTTTATCTCATAATATTAAAACATTAACCGAGGAATTTTTATATATCTATTTAAAATAATTAGGTCTTAATAACTAATTGGCAATGCGCGATTGATTACGTATAGGTGTCCTGCATACTTATCTTTAATCAGTGACAGATTTTAATTGGTTCTACACAAACGATAATTAAATATTTGCCGAAGGTAAGAACTTACAGTGTTCATTATAACTCACTGCAGTCTGCAGTCACCTAGAATATACAAAATGTAGATTTGATATTGATACCAAATGGAAAACAAAATAAATTATCATTGCTTGCATTCTGACAAAATAGAAATTCAAACTAGCCATAAACGTGAATCGGTATCTCAAAGATCAAAATAAGACATTTTTTTCACAACAACATGATAAGGCACTGACAGGAAAAACGCCACCTGTGGCAATACCTAAATAGAATTCTTTCAGGGTGGATATCGGGCCCAGCTATTGTGTTAGGTTAAATATTGGTTCTGTACATTGAAATTATATTCACCAGATAATGAATTTACAATATTTAGCATGGGCTAATCTCCTCCAACACGAATGTAGAATAGGCTCCTGACAATTAATTTGTATAATTCCTTCATGTATGTATACAGGTTTTGTCATGGTGTTTCGTAGACTTTGGTATTGAACTCTCGTGTCACACACAGACAGGAACAGTAAATGGTTCAGTCACAAAACAGAAAAAAGCATCAAACAGCAAATGTATATAACATAAATACCATGTCATTAAGTAAATATAAGCTGTATAATGCATGTATATTTAAAGAGTACCGTATTAATATAGACATAACACAATCAAACAAGAGTTGTACGTAGTTATATTTCAAATGTATTGAACGCTTACTTGAATGAAAATATCTCTGTAAAATCAGTGGTTGTTAAACCTACATTCACAGACTAATGTCATATTTAACTAGACAGCCGTGGTTAAACCTACATCCATAGAATAACGCCATATTTAACTAGACAGTGGCAGTTAAACCTAAATTCACATAATAACGCCATATTTAACTAAACAGTCCTGGTTAAACCTACATTCACAGAATTACGCCATATTTAACTAAACAGCCGTGGTTAAACCTACATTCACATAATTACGTCATATTTAACTAAACAGCCGTGTTTAAACCTACATCAACAGAATTACGTTATATCTAACTAGACAGACGTGGTTAACCGTGCAATCACAGAATAATGCCATATTTAGCTAGACAGTCGTGGTTGAACCTTTGCTGTCGGTGGTTAGGTGCTAGAAAATAAATAAGCTATCGTTGGCTTATTAAAATCAACCGACATAAACTTACATACATGTATACAGCTACAATCAGACGGATTTTCTCCTTCAGAAAATGTTTTATGAATTACATAACACACATTCGTCTTATCCTAAGTAAGAACATTGGTGGGGTGTTTTATAATATCATTATACGTTAATCTGCTCTTACAGTAACCTTTAACCAAATACAGTTTGGTATTTTGATAGATGTATATACATATATACAAAAGAGTATCTTAATGTATCATTGCCTTTTAAGGGGACGATATAATCCGAATAAACGGACAGTGAAACATGTTAAATGAATCATGACATTGCTGAATATTTGTTTGTCATCAATGAAGTTGTACAAAAGGCATGCAGGTGAATAGGACCTTTTAATACTTATTTAGAATAAGATGCAACAGAACCGAATAATGAAAGATAAAAGTCATGTATTATTCAATGTTGGATCAATATCTGTCTATGGCAAAGTTGCATTTTCTGTCTAAATCCATTGATTAACTCTTCTCAAGGGATTAAAGGAATCAAAGGTAACTATATAAAAAATCAGAGACTAGAACTACGGTACTTTAAAGGGAACATTATTTATTCACTGGTCTAAACCATGGTTCATGACATAGCTGTATGGAAGGGTAGTTCAGACGTTATATATCATTAGGTGTATACAAGCTGGCATGTTTTCTTTTAAATAAACGAGATAATGTGGACGAGTGGCGCAGTGCTGTTTAACTTCGCCTTTCACTGAGGCGTCCGGGGTTCGATTACACGAACGGGCATAAAAACGGTAGAGGAGATAGCATCGGAAAATAAAACTTCCGATCACACCTGTGGATTAATGCAATGTACACATGGTTAATACTAAGCTGTTGGCTTCTAGAATTAGTCAAAATGTGTTGTCATTTTGCTTCGATTGTTTTCGTTCCTGATGTATTACTGGTTAAGCGTTCGAGTTAAACACTTACAGGTAAATGTGTTCGGTTTCTTGTATGTATTACTCTTCCTCAGGTTAAAATTCCTTGCTAAAGCCATGTAAGTATTGAGTTTATGTTGATTGAAAGCACTTTGTCAAATAAGAATTCCACAGGAACCTGAATTTCAGTCCTTGTTTTACACGGCCGGACCAATGAATCCCTAGTTAAGCCTTTAGAACACATACGCGTTGTCCACACAAAGATTACCTCTGTTTTCATGATAACAAATATTTGTCAAGAAAAAGTGCTGTCACACAAATTACTTGTCGTACCGAACCTGTGTCGTACTATGCACCGTATTGCAGTGGTTTTAAACGTGCAAATTTAATCATGTCACCCTTAATCATGTATTTAATGTCATGTGTGAACTGGATTTTATTCTTAGTGAACAAAAATCATTTTCTATGTGCAGAATATCTTTTTTTGAGAACATTAACAGGTAAGAATATAGACTTTAAAATTTGTTCTATCAAAAACATTTTCTGAAAAGGTAAAAAACTGTCGTTGTATTTTAAAATTGACTTTAAATATCATACAACGATTTTATGATTAGTTGAGAAACGTAGCAAGACATGTTACATGTTTTTCAGTGAATGAATAATGTTAATTACTTTTTTTATTGCGAGTCTCGTATAACTGTTTGTTTAAGCGTTAAAACGTTTTTCCGGTAAAGTCATATCTCCTTTTATCTAATATCACATGAACATATCCACTTTGACAGTTAATGGTTTCAATACAATAATTCAATCCACGTCGATTACAACAGTTCAGACGACGTAACCAGCAGATTGTATTGTACCTGCCATTGATATTGGCCTTCACACCTGTTTGTGAATGTTACAGATCAGAATGGTTCTCAACAACCATTATCCAGAACAAACATCAATATACAACGTACCTGTACATAGATCTCATCACTAAAGCGCCACTACACACAGGCAATTATAAACCAGAAAATGATATTAAAATATACCGCAACATCCTACAGCTAGTAGAGTATACAAGAAAAAATATAAAATGTACGGCTATCATACATGGAGTATAGTATACCAGAAAAAAATTACATTGTAATGTACAGCCATATCATAACAGTCCTTGTAGTATACCAGGGAAAATTATATTACGATGTACAGCCATATCCTAACAGTCCTTGTAGTATACCAGGATAAAATTATATTACAATGTACAGCCATATCTTAACAGTCCTTGTAGTATACCAGGGAAAATGATATTACAATGTACAGCCAAATCATAACAGTCCTTGTAGTATACCAGGGAAAATGATATTACAATGTACAGCCAAATCATAACAGTCCTTGTAGTATACCAGGGAAAATGATATTACAATGTACAGCCAAATCATAACAGTCCTTGTAGTATACCAGGGAAAATGATATTACAATGTACAGCCAAATCATAACAGTCCTTGTAGTATACCAGGGAAAATGGTATTACAATGTACAGCCATATCTTAACAGTCCTTGTAGCATACCAGGGAAAATGATATTACAATGTACAGCCAAATCATAACAGTCCTTGTAGTATACCAGGGAAAATGATATTACAATGTACAGCCAAATCATAACAGTCCTTGTAGTATACCAGGGAAAATGGTATTAAAATGCGCAACTATATCATACAGGCTGTAGGATATACCAGAAAAATGATATTATAATTTACAGCTATATCTTAACAGTCTGTATAGTATACCAGGAAACATGATATTACAACTATATCAGGCTGTAGGATATACCAGAAAAATATTTGACAGTGTACAGCCACAACAAAAAGGTTACAGGGAGCCAGAAAGGGCGAATAAATCTTCCCAACTTTTTATTGAAATCTAAACATGTGTACACGCCTATCTAATCATATATCAACTGTCCATTAGTTAAGCCTAGTATCTATTTCCAGATACACATTTATACTGGGTAGGTCTCATTCACTTTGAGCGTCAAGAAGCACAAACACCAGTTTGAATATATCCGAAATTTTAACGATAGTCCGACATTTACACAGTAACAAAAAAGATATAGGAAAAAATACCGCTTTCTACGGAAGTAATTGCATCCGCATTTATTGATGTTCAAGGAAAATCTGGTTTCACAATAGCCATCTGGTTTCACAATAGCGTATGTTATCAGGAACTGTTTATAAGTTATCTGTGGACGGTTTCTGTCATCAATTTTTTTCTACACCAAAGCAGTTTATCAATGCCATCGATTTGTAGTTATGTTATTGTATAGATACACCACTCTATAATGGAGGACATTGTTATGTCGTGGTACTTTACATAAAGGTCTACATAGATATTACAATCATAAATGTTTTACAAAACCCAATATTGATATGAACCGGATGTTTACACGGGAACCATGGCACTAGTGAGTGTGGATAGACAATGATGGCAGTCCTCCGCTATCCTTTCGACATAATACAATGTGTTGACAATCCAATGCTTAACAGCTCAACTGCGTTGACCGGTTTAGTTGATAAACAATGTTTCATTGAAGCAAATAAACTTTTTCCATACCATTGCACAGGGCACTTTGATAGTGTCTTACTTAACACAAGCAACTGAAGATGAAGCAACCATATTCTGAAGGTAACACTAATTCATTTGCCAATATTTTTGACCGGTATTTACATCCTTGAAATATTTATGTTTTGTTAGGTCAAGTGCCAAAAAGAAGAAGGAATCGGAACCGCCACCACCACCACCGCCAGAACCAGTAGTAGTCAAGGCACCAGAGGTCAAGAAACCATTGAGAGGACCAAAGTGTTGGGTGGATGACGCAACTGTTACTAGTGAGTGTGAGGATAAGGCCGAAAATGAGCAAACAACATCGGAAGGAAACCGTCCAGTTTCTGCAGCTAAATCCCTCACAATCTCTGACAAGCGTACAACGGACATAATAGACCCGGCAAATAGTGCCGGACAGCAGCAAATACAGGGGGATACTGCCGCACCAGTGGACTCTGATGTAGAAGGTGCTGATGAAGGTCCCTCCTTCTTACCCAAATTTCTCTGTCCAAGTTCGGTTCGGAAATCAAAGTACGCTGCTGTCAAAGAATGGTTAACAACAACGAATTTTAACCATGCCGAGAAATCTGTACCATTATTATAATGACGAATCGAGGTTATTCTCAGAAAATACTAAAATAAACATGTTCCGGTGTGATTCGTAACTATCATACTCATGACACGGTATCGAACATTAAACAAAAGTGGGTGGTGTACTCAAGGATAAATAAGGAGGCGAAGTTATGGAACGAGTTCATTGTATCCAATGTGTGATATATTTAGATATATGATAGAATCACAACTCCGTGTGTTCATTTATCTTAATGGCAGCCATACTTTATCAATGGTCGTCATGAACAACATGATCGCTATAGCAAATATATATCATGAAACATATCTACAAGTGTATTTCGTACACGCAATTTTGTTTCAGAATATTACTCGTACCACAAGGCCAGAGTGAAAAGTGAAAATAACACATACCTGTGCATTGCTGTTGGTTTGATGTATCATGACGTTATTTATAAATTGCAATTTTCTTATATAAAATTATAACTATACATATATTGACAAAAGCATACGGAATTTTTAAAATACTACATGCTTTGAAGCGATACCAGTGGTTCCATGTTCGTTCGGAATCACTTATGAATACTCTATACACAGGGAGCCTCACTCGTGATCTAGCAATATCTCCTGTCAGTGTACAACGACAGTTGTGTGTATGAAATGATCTGCGTTGTAAACAATACATTTCTTTGTACAAAAATGAGTCGTTTGTTGTCAATGGCATAACTTTGGTACAAGGGAAATAACTCCTGTTTATACAGCATTCATGGTATTACTCAATGGTTACTTGGGTACATCTTTGTTACTGCTGTGGTTTCTAAATGATATAAAAAATTATAAGAACATGTGTAAATGATACTTATGAAGTTAGTCTTTATCGGCTCCGAACAGGGCACACTTACCTAACTCATTTATTTCTTAATTGATCTTTCTTTCATCATATAACTGACTTGGTTTTATTTCCTTTCATATTGGTAAATCATAAAATAATCTTAAAGACACGTGTAATAACACTATTATGACGTCTAGGCATTGGAAAACACATCGTACTCGTCGAAAGAAGACTGTTGCGGGGAAAATTTTATTTTTTTCCTCCCTTTTTTTCCAGAAATACTTAATGTAATGTGAAATTTAAACGCTTAAAAGCTCGTGATATATATGATTCTTGAATATCAGTAAAACCGACAGTAATGTACCTGTTTGGCCAGAGAGCAGTGCGGTTTAATGACATCCAGCGTGTGAATATTTTGACGGCACTATTGTTGGCATATACATGAAATGTGTGAAGAAATCCCGTCGGATTGCCGTCTATTCCACTCGACGAACTACATGGTTGATAATAAATATTTCATTTTATTTCAAATTAAACCGCGATCCACACGCGTCAGCAGCAAGCATTGGGAATATATGATTTCCATTCTTTTCCAGACGATATTAAGTATGTATGTGTAAACGCCTTTGAATGCCGCACGCCTTTGAATGCCGCAGCCTCGATAACTTGAACTGTATACGCTATATTCCAAACACAGCATGCTCAAATCCTGCAATCTGTTGTCTGGGCTAGAAATAATATGCTAGCACTGGCTATGATAAACACCCCTCCAGACGGATGTCTAAACTTCCGTTAAGGAAAAGGTTCAAGTCACTTTTATCCCGACAGCTTAAAAACTCTGAGATGAACTTGTTATGTGCGCTACGTTCTTCTGTGATCGCTTTTTATCAATAACGTGCAAAACCCATCTTGTCTTGTCTGGTTGTCCAGATAGAATTTCTATGGTATCGTTGGGATTGGTCCTGTCCTCAATTGGTTCGCTTATATAGGAAATATAGCATTCTTTTAATATTAAGACAGATTGTAGATATGTTTATAGTTCTTCCATATCCCCAAGTTCCATTATTATACCACGCATGTTGATGAATAGGACAATTCTCATTCATCAACGCGCACCAGGCAATTAATATACACGGTGTTTCATTATCCGATCATACAGTACCATTGTTATTGAGAGGTATGCGTGTTATTTGGGTGTCCGATTGAATACGTCAGTAGTTTCACTTTCAGTCATTACACCACTCGTAGTACAGTGGGAGCTGTCAAGTATGTTGATTTGATATCAAAGAGAGAATACGCCGAGGTGGTCCGGTAAAAATGGCATTCGTTTCAGCGACGACACCGTCATAGTATCAGTTCTTGTTAAATCCAAGTAAGAAATGCGGTCAATCCAACATTCCCAGATCCAATTTCATCAAAAAGGGATGTTAAGTTGTAAGTACAGTTGGAGATGGCTTAATATAAGTTTTATAATCTTGTTGCCAGATCCATTTTCAATTTTATAATTTGTGATTGTGTATGTTGTAAATGTAAATCTGAAAATAAAATATTATTTAAACCAAGTACAGTTGTATATGTCGTTAGCTTCTACATATGAAAATGCTAACAGGAAGAGAACGCTTGTCGGTCTGACGGCTTCATTCTATCATCATATTTCTTGCTGTTTGTCTTGTGTGTGTCCTTTGTACAGTTATTGAGATTGCAGGTGGTAGACACTGCTGGTGGACTTTCAGTCCTCGAGGTTTGTCGTAACCCGCATGTCACGCTTTAAATCATTACGGTAGTGCGTGCACGGTTCGGAATATACACAAGTACAGAACTTCACGTTCTTTTGATATTCTGCAATATTAATAAGATTGGGTTAATTGTGACACAATTGATTTTAGTTTAGAACAACTCCCCAAATAGTTCCTTATAGTTTCTTTCGGCCAATTTTAATTTCCCTCTGTCTCCTCACAGGCAATTTAGGCCCGAAGCAGTCATAGAAGGACGCGCGTGTCTTTTGTGCAATCATCGTCATTCTTTGGAACTATGCACTAATGAAATCTATGGAATCTATGAATTTCGGTGAAAACGCATCTTCTGGTTTTGACATTTCTTGCGACCAGTCTTTAATTTTCCTCAATTTCTTTCTAGGTTTGATTACGGACTTATATACTTGTAACAAAGAATGCACCAGGATTACTAACGAGCATTGAACGTGTCCAGCTTCCTACCGTGTACCTCACAACGAAGTAGATAACTTCCCAGTGTGATTATATGATGACAACCAAAAACCTTTATATCTTTTCAACATGTATCTCTAAAAACTGTATTGTATGTTCCTGTTCGGTGTTGACATCATTCATGGATATCGTGATAGTGAAATCAAGTCCTGGACTTGAATACCGAATAAACAGCAAAATAAAAACTCCGTTTGTTGGAAACACACGAATGTTACTTCATATCAATGGACAAGCATCCCCCGGACGGATCTTGGCGCTCGCCGTTATACGATCTTTATCGTAAGTTGAATATTGTCAATTCTTGTCTCTCAATCATATGAAATTTGAGAAATGTTCAATTAGGACACGAAGGAAGCTGAAACTACCGCAATAAAACCAGAACCATCCATCCAGCGATTCCCAAGAAATTTTGATAACAAACTTAAACTTTTTTATCTGTCCCAAAACTGAAAATGCTATGGAAGATACCAAAACGATTTCAATGTAATTTGAGATTTTACTTCTCAAGAGATGGGAATGATTTAATGGCGGATCAAAGTCGAAAGGTGATTTGAACAACCCTCTATCTGATGACGGTGGGCTAAAAATAACTGTACGGAAATCAAAATCATTAGGATTGCTCTTACTTCAGCTTCGTGGAAAACCCTGTTGGTCCGTGGTTAAGAGATATTATGGTTCAGTAACAGGAGTAGTTTTAATGATTAGAACAAGCAAAACCTTAAATTTTGAAGAAAGAAAACAACAAAAAATTAACCAAGTTAGTTTCATATAGCAATTACAGAATCAAAACTGTACAAGGAGGAGTCTGTATGGCTTGTACATAGTGTTAAATACAGTCTCTGTCATTCAGCTGGTGGATTATACTTCTCTGATTCAGTTGATACAGCCGTGGATTATCACGCCAGAGACTGGGGTTCGATTCCTGTAATTGCTTTCGGCAAGAATATGGTTTCCCTGTTTTTTGTTTTTTTGTTTTTTTTTGTTTTTGCACATTATTAACTTTTTATATTTGTTTCATCAGATGATACCAATTGACAACAAAAACCTGGAAAGTAGATCTGGAGTAATTTAATTTATCACAATGAACTAAACTGTACTTGGTAAACAAAATGATAAGACATGTTGTAGTTCTATCCTGCACAACTGCATCTCCAAAACTTCTTTTTCACAATACAAGCATTGGGTACATGTACATAAAGAAACTTATTCCATTGGATTTCCATCAGAGAGAAAAGCAAGATAAACATAATTCCACGTAACCTGAGAGACCATGAACAACATATGATACAATATAAAATGAAAGGCACTCAATAATAACATGTTCAAAGTGGACAATAACATACATTAATCATATTGTTCAGTTTGATTGTATTTTTTCCTATTCATTTTCACTACCAACATAAAGAAATCATTGATTTTCCAAAGAGAAATATATACTTCATGAGCAAAATTATCCCAGTTTGACCCAGCACTGTAACAATAGATTCTGCTACTTTTAATTTTGATACAATAGTTCATGTTCTTGTACCAAAGTAGCACACACATTTTCTATTAGAATTGCTCAAGATGATTAAGCTATATTCTTTAACAATATACTTTTTGTTTGGACAGAAAATGTCTGATGTACATGTTTACCTAGAACATGATCAATTCAAAATTATAAATATAGTTAAATTTGATATTGAGGTATCAGGTAGAAATGTTAGAAATACAAAAACAATAGAAAATATTTAATCTAAAACTCACAAAACAGTTTATAGTGTAAAAAATAGATATGCATGGTACTTGTATACATGTCAGAAAATAGAATGATACATCTTACTGTTACAGATACATCATATCAATAAATAGATTTTAGAGTCGAAAATTGATAAACCACACCACAATCTAGTTGTACAATAGAACTACCACTAAGGAATATTTTCACTATGATACAGCAGAAGTGTTAACTATTAAATACTTTTAAAATCTGTTCATATCTTTAATGCTGCCTCGTTTTGTGATGAAATGGAACTTCTTCAATCTTTCAATATAAAATTTATATAACATTTTACATATTTCTAAAATTGCTATTTTAGGAATTGTTCCCCACTACAATGAAGATACAAAACCCAAACATTTGGTGAAATTCAGGACTTTTACCCTCAGTTTTTAAGCACTCTTCTGTGTAAATACATAGCCAGGGATATAGTGTACCCCTAGTTTCAAAATGCAAGTGCGAACACTGTTTAAGGAAATACCAAATATTTGCATGACATAGACATGAGTGTATTAAATAGCTAGCAGATTTTGTCCCAAATGATCATCTTACAATGATACACATACATTATAAAGTTCAGTTTCAGTACTAATATTCTATTGTTTGTGAAATTGAAAATAACATTAATTATGTACAAACTGATGACTAGGTATATAGTATACATGATTTTGTAACTTGAAAAAAAAATCCTTCAAGACTAAAACCATATTAGTTTCATAATGATTTCATTTACTATAAAGCACGGAACCAGAAGTTGTTATACATGAGGTCACGTACTTTTAATTCATCAAACAAATTCAAAATTTAGTATGAAACAAGCATGCATCAGTTTACTGGAAAATTTTAATATTTAAGTTAACTTAATAATTCCCTTCTTGATTTCTCAGAAAATGCTATAAGCTTGTTTAGTTAGAAAATATGGTTACACATGCTATATTTGACTTGCCAGCATTCCCCCTTTGTCGTTTGATACTGGGGGTACACTGTAACTCTAACTATGTATCTATATACAGAAGAGTGCTTGAAAACTGGGGGTACAAATCATGAATTTCAGAATTTTTTGGGGTTTGGTAACCTCTCTAGGGGTAATGGAGAATAATGCTGGTAGAATCCATATCAAAAGTTTCTACAAAATATACAATGTATATCAATGTTCTAATGAGGACTAGTCTAGCTAGCTGTTATATTGAAACATAATTAACCACACAATCTTGACGTTGCTGTTCCATCCTTTGATTTCTTATGAAAGATTCCTGCCACATTTTATTTTGATGGATACCAACCAAGATATATGTTGATTTTTAATTCCTTTTTTAGGACTAATTGCTTATTAAAAACTTTGTCCTCCCTAAAAACGAACATTTTCTGTTGATATGTAGCATTTTATAAATATTTTCTATGTAATCTTTCCATGAAAAAAATAAATGGTCTTTGAGAATCTCATACTCCAATCAATCAATATCATGGGAATCTAACATAATACCATTTGATCTTCATAATGTTATTTCCAACTACTAGACATTTAAAAATGAAATTTAACATCTTTCATCTGCTTCAAGACATAGATTTAACAATGATTTAAAATACTTGATTGTAACACAGAATGCTTTTCATAATATTATAAATGTCATCATTCACCTCTGAATATTTGAACTTTTTTTTAAAGAGAAAAATTCAAATATCTTTATCATTAACATATCCACGATAAATGATGAATTTAACCATACACACTCTTTCTCTTTAACTTGGAGTCAAAATCGTTTTTAAAGTCTTTGTACTGTGGTGCAATTTGATGGCCATATTTTCTCTCTATCCAATCACGTTTGTCGACTTTTGAGGATTTCTTTTTAAGGCGCTTTAGAGTTGAAAAGCTAGCGTCAGGCCGATACCTCATGTGGATGTCTTTGACGATTGCTAGCGAGTCACCTGTAACAGAAATTGATGCAGTCACAGTACATGCTGAAAGAAAAACATTGCCCAACCAACTAGGGACCAAGAGAAACCTTCATATGAAATCTAAGTATGATCTATTAAGGACTTCTTAAGAAATACCAATAACAAGCTATTAATGTCAAAATCCAAGATGGCTGTCAGTCAGCCATTTTCTTTTTTGGATCAGTCCCAGCATGAAACAATGCAATACTAACAACCAAGGGAAAAGTGGATATGAAATTGAACTGAATTGAATTGAAAAATATCCATCCTGTGCTTCTCAAAAAAGTTGTGACTAAAACAATTGTTTAAGGACAGATGGGCATCGCACGAATCACAATTTCAACGACACACCATCTGAAAATTAGTTTAATTAACAAGAGACCCAAGGGCCTTAACTAAGGTATGTCATTGAAATCATCTTGTAAACAAAAGTAAGATAACTTGACTTACAACGGAGATATCATGTAAATGTGAAATGAACAATTTCACTGCTATCCCATGTTAATAATTCTAAGCAAATTTGAATTATTTCCCGATTTTTATATAAACTTTAGTTAATCAATAAAATCAATTAAAGTTCCAATCATATTTCAAAATGGAATGAAAAAACCTGAAATTCTTTTGTACATTTATTTAACCAAATCATACATGTACATCATTTTCTTAGCATTTTTTTTTAAAGATATGACAATTTTTTTGCAGAAATGAAGCACATACTTCCTATTCTAGCACACCAAAAATTTTTACAAAATAGTTGGGTCATTATACTGTCTACCTATGGTTAAAATTTCAGAAAAATTGAGAACTGGTATAATTGTCATTTTAAGGTCAAAAGGCATTGTGGTCTATTTTCCAAAAATGCCAAAATCTAGAGGTCTGTGTTTCTACTGGATTTACAACAGAAAAAAATGAACTTCAAAGTAAATGTTTAGCTTTTGCTGTTCTTCAATCTTCTTTCAAAAATTGATATTATCTAATTAAACTGTACTTCTTATCACTTTTTGTTACCAAAATTATTGAATTGAATTATCAAATAAAACTGTTTTCTCAGTGGTATTTAGACTGGTTTGTAATGAAAGACAACACTATACTATCATACTGACCAAATGATTGTCATCTTAAGTACAAGTGTTCCTCTACTGACCTTTGGGTTCTGTTGCCATAGGAGTAAGGTCTAAGGTGAAAGGTATCTCCACCTGGTTCAGCACGTCTTCATCATATACACCTTGATTGAAGTCTGTTTTCTACAATGAAAATAGACCACTATATTACAGTAACTACATTTACATTCTCGGAGAGTCACAATATATATATCTGTAAATCTCTCATATCCACCTTTGGTAACAATATTACTATTTCCAATTATATACATTTAAGATTTAGTAATTCCAAATTAAATATGAACCGTCAATTATATCTAAAATCAATATGAGACTTGTATCGAAGCTTCACATTTTCTATTAACCAACCACACCACAACTCACACATAAACTTAATGATATGCCAATTAACTTTTCTCTGGACATTGCACATTATATCAAGACCATTCATTGCATAAAACACAAAAAAGGAAACAGACTGGGAACTTAAATGTCAGACAAAACCAGAATTAATCCTTGGACTTTTATTGTACCTGCAAATCCAAAGAAAGCATGCAAAATTATGTTAGGCCATCCAGCATTTATTCATTCTGTCCAATTCCCCTAAATTCAGATCCACTTGGTAAATACAGGTATGAAGATGATATACTAGCTTCTAACTAGACAATGTAGCTACCAGTAGGCAAGAGATTGATATGTTTCAGACCCCATGACCAGGTCTACCAGTGGGCAAGAGATCACTATGTTTCAGACCCCATGACCAGGTCTACCAGTGGGCAAGAGATTAATATGTTCCAGACCCCATGACAAGGTCTACAAGTAGGCAAGAGATCAATAGGTTCCAGACCCTATGACCAGGTGGACAAAGTTCTATGAAGGAGGACTTTTTAAACTTACGTTATTTAGGCATCCCTTTAGGTTATCGATAAACAGTTCCCAGCGAGGACGGTAATATCTGAAACAGAAGAAATTCTAAGTACAAATAAACTACAGAAGGAATATACTATATATATTACTATATCTAGCTGATGGGTCGTCTTAAATAACCTTCACTAATTACATTTTATGGTTAAGGATGTACTCCTCTCAGAAGAAAAAAAGTTCCAGTATCAAACTTTTTTCGAAAGGTTTGATCTTAGAAAGTAGATTGAAAGCAAAAAATCAATATGTTGCTGCATTACTTCTTTAGTACAGGTCTCAGAATATGTGTAAATGGAAATCATACATGTGTATATGATGTCACTTACCCTTCAATCAAACCTGCCCACTGCTTACAAGCATAATCAAGGATCTGAAATATATTTTTAAGTGATTAAATTCTAGAGCGTTTGATGGAGGACTTACTTTTACAACAAAATTAAATCATAATCTAGTAGATATGTGATGATAGTAAGGCCCCTGTCATATCAATAATTGGTTGAACTAAAGACTTCTTTTCCTAATATGGGCGTATGGAAGTATGAAGTTACATTTTGCCTGTTCTGGAGGACCACATAAATTGCTTAATATGTTTCTAACAAACAGTTTCTGTATTATGAAATATTGGCAGCATTTAGGGAAATTGGTATATAAAGTAGGGTTCATACATATAATCTGTCAGTACACTGCAACACTCCATGATGAGCAGATTTCATCTAACGGATAGAGGATTAGCAATACCTATAAGCTGTTCTCTAACATCAGCATGGTGTTCTCGATCAGACAAAACCTGTTATATGCCAATAGAGCCAGGAGAAGCAAAATAGGTGAAGGGAAGAGAAGAAATCAGTTGAGACCATGGAGTAGAAGTGATGGATGTCTGAAATTATCACTGATGATGAAAGAGATTTACCTCCCCTCGTGGTCCCCAGAGTGTCACCTGGTTACGTGCATTGTACTCATATAAAAAGCGTTCATTTATATTTGTAGACTTGGCCTGGGCTGCTGCAATCCAGCGCCCCATTAGGAAATGACGATCAGAGGCAAGGACTGTATCCATATCCTTCAGGAGTCCCAACAATTTATCTCCTAAAGTCCTGTAATAAACATGAATAAACAAAATAGGATCACATCCTTACTCATCAGGACCCTCACTGTCTTAACCTAACAAATCCATGCTTTATAAATTTATTCTTTCAGATATCCTATCAACGTTACACAGGTAAGATTCATCTCACAGCTGATTCCTCTAACTAACTATTCTAATGAGAAGTAAAAAAACATAAATTGTCATCTGAGTTTAACTTTCTAACAAATTCTTTGAAGCTGCATTAAATCCCCTTGGAAGCCAATAACACTGGATTTTTCCTTTTTCAGAAAATTGGATTTGGCTTTCAACGGATCACGTTTCCATAATTCTCAATTTTGCTCTGACATATTTTTGACATTCAATATTAATCCAAGAGCATCCATATCTAATTGAGAAATTGCAATCTGACAAATAACAAACCTTAAAGCAATGCTTTAAATTCTAACCCAATCTTGTCTCGCATAGAAATAATAAGACGTACGTGACAGTAGGAAGGTCTTTTCCCTTGAAGGCATTCACCAAATCCTGGTAGTAACTTAGGGAGAGAATCTGGAGGCTGTTTCGTGTCACATCCACTAAATCATACCTGTCAATCAAAATAGCACCAATATCATCTTCATACAAATGACCTTTCACACAATATCTGGAATATGACAAAACTGACCACAAAAAGTGACTGCATTACATTGCAAAGACTTAATGTACATTTAGTGTGTACATTGATGAAGAGACCTAAACTTGGCACAATAAACATGACAGATGGGTATAGTGTCTCAAATTTAGAACATAATGACAATGATGCTTCACAATGACCCTGATCAAGGTCAGAGTAGCTTTGATATGGCAGAAAGTGTTTATCATTTAAACCATGTGAGTTTCGAACAGATAGAAGAGATCCTTGAGGGATTCTAAAATTTTAGACAGATCCATCTACTATTTCTGAAGAAGTACAGATAAAATCTAAATGTCAAATTTTCACATGGTCACTATTTTGTTCATTCAACCAATATAAAGGCAATGTTTAACTAGGGACCATGGGGAAAATACATATAAAATTTGAGAATGGCACGATTCCACACTTTTATATGAATAGAAATAACAAACTAAAACAATCAAAATGCAAGATGGCCACCTGTCATTTGATCAGTCGCAGAATATAGTCATTACAAATTAACAGATTTACGGCAACCTACACATGAAATTTGGGAATGATCTATCACATATTTTGCAGAAATAGTGACAACAAACTATAAAAGCAAAAACCTAAGATGGTCGTAACTTGACTATTTTGTTTTTCTTATTAGCTAAAAAACTAGACAATGTACAATCATGAACTGGAATAAGTCTACATATGATATTTGGTGAAAATGAGCCATTCAGTCGTTTTCAAGGATTAGCAATAACAGAAAATGTTTATTGAAAGACGGGGAGATGATGAATGAACAGCAATTAGAACATGAGATGATGGTGAGCTTATAAACAACAATATCAAAGTTAATTTCGCTGTGATATTCTTATTCACGGACTTTGATCTCTGATCTAATTGGTTTATGTTTATAATCTACTTACATATACAAGGTATTATTTATGTACTGATCAGCTGCCACTACCAGGATGTCCCAAGCTACATAAAGATCCTCTGGCTCATACCATATCTGTGAAATTCACCCAAAAGTTTTTTTTTCTATCATATTTTTTAATACATGAATTCATCAAAAGTGTAATAACTCTCATATTAAGTAGAAACCTGTAAGCATTTATTATATGCTGTCTCATTATAACAAAATTTGTGATTATACTATTGTTACATCATGCATTTTGCAAACAGGGGCTATGCATTACATAGTATTTATTATAAGTGTTTTGAATGTGTTTAAGGAGGAGTCACATGAAGTAAGATGATAAACATGTAATATCATAATTTTAATTTTTTTCCAAAAACAATACTATACATGTAACATTAGAGTTTAACAGATTTCATAAAAAAAGGAAATTTGATTTCTTCAGATATCGAGAACAGAAGAACTATAGGATTTGTTTATAACTTCACACCTAAAGCAGAGTTGCTTTATGATAATAGTAACATAATGAACTCACATCCTGATGTATCATGGGAGTAAGCCGTGGTCTGACCGTTGGAATAATGTCAATATTGTTGTCATGGTGACCATCAGAGCAGTTGTAAATACTCATCTAAGGGGAAAAAACAAAGTTTTTCAGAATTCAGTATCCAAATCCAACACATGGCTTAACATCTACATATTAGTTCATGCAACATGGTTTCAGACTGTTCTTTCATTCATTTGACCTTGTTTAACCTTTCCAGGCAGTTTAAGATTAATATGTCAACTGAAGGTATTTGTTTAGAATATCTTGACCCCTCATCTACATATCATTACATGTACTTAGTTAAACCACAGTTACATAAGGCAGCTTACCTTGAGATAGTGCCAGGCAAGGTCCACATATTTGTCATATTTTCCATATCTTCTGGTTGCATAATCTGACACCCTGAAATATTGACAAACTAGATGAGAAAAAGATGAGATAGAACAGCATCCTTAATTTCTAAAATTAAAGAGAAGTTGGACCAACAAACAATTGAAGTTTGGAAAAAAGTTAAACCAGATAGCTGACTGTTGTATAAATTATCAGAAAGAAAATCAATCTGTTGTTAAACGACTCATCAATAATTCTTTTATCTTAGTATGTCTTAGACTAGTGCTAAATTCAGGAATATGTTTCAGTTATATACCGTATATCATTCTATAATCAACACCTTACCATTTTGCTACATCTCTAGGTTTAGTTCTCCATGTGTTTTCAGCAAAGAATTCGTAAATTACTTCATTCTGATATATGCCCTCTGGGGTGATTCCAATACCAACCAAGGTGCTATTAGGAAAAGCTCGACCATCAAATGGACCCTAAGTATATAGTATAACGTACAGATCAGACTCTCATAAAACTTACCAAAAGGAAAAAACAATAGTATGTCACTGAGATATTGTTTTTGACAGACCACAATTAAAGTTTGTGTCATCGACACACTCATTTCTACAGATCTAAAGTAGGTGTCACAAAGGCAGTACTAAAAATACTACGAATTGTGTAATCTTCCAGTAGCTTTTCATTTCAACAATTGAAAATCTAAAGTTTGTTTCAGTATGGTACTCATTTCAGCAGACCCTACATTTGTGTGAACTTGCCTTTTATTTCAATAGTCCTACAGCTGGCATCATCATGATATTCAATTAATATATCAAAAGTTTGTGTCAGGAAAGGATTTTGTCTATCCTTTATCAGATTACCACTAGGTAATGCATTATATAAAACAGCATCATAAAATGTTATGACACAGCTTGTATCATATAGTTATAGAAATTTCTACAGCTAGTTGTCAATTACTTACATTATTGATATTTAGAAATGCTCCATACATCTCTGACGTTCCTCCGAAATTGTGTAACATACACCAAATAAACGGCTGGCCATAATAAGATTCCGTGTTCGAAAAAATTGGAGCAATTTCAGAGTACAGATCCAAGACAATCATTTTACCCTAAAATAAATCAAAGTACATCTCGGCTTATAGTTTAAAGACATCGTAATCATTTTGATACATAGCCGACTTTCATAAAAGAAGCATAAAAAAAATGAGAAAAATCCATCATTAAAAGATTCAAATTCTTGTCCAAACTGATTGGAGGAGAAATCATTTGTCTATATCGAAATAGATTGGGGAAGGTAAATATTCCTTACAGTTGGAACACCTGTCAGGTAAGCCTTTATTTGGGTAGGTTTCCAGAAATATTCCGCTTGAAACAGCCATCCCTGCATTAGCCTAAAATAACCAAATTTAGAATGACAATTTAGTAATGAACAATCTCGAGTACAAGAATTTAAGTCGTTTTTTTTTTTCAAACTTCTTAAAACCTTCATAATTTGTTGTACACTAAATTACAGTGACATTTTAATTTTTTTGGTTGACAGTAACATTACAGATATTTCAGAAAATTTTCTTTAGTGCTAGTATGCTTCACACAGGTCATTTTCTCTGATGAATGTGACTGTGTGGCCACAGTCTAATATTTTACTGATTGTGTTAGAACAATGACAAAGTCCTGAGGTTTAAACATCAGCCTGCTATTTATCATACATACCATATTCCCTGTGGATCAGCCTCTGTGACAGCTTCATAAATGGTGCGGGAAGCTTTAGCTAAGTATTCTGGGGCACTGGAATTGTACAAGTCAATTGTAACAACTGCCAATATCATTTACCATAAATGTATCAGATAATAAATCTATATATATATCAACAGAAACAGAGTATGCCGGGATGGAACAATTTATGCTTATTCTATATTATAAAAATATCATGCCAAAATGAAAACAAATACAAAAATGGTAATACTGAGTCAAAATGCCATGGGAGAAACTGCTTTTCAAGAAAACACAATTTCATGTCATAGTTTCTCATATAAAGCTGACAAATTTAGAAAGAAATCGGTTGAAAATTGGCAGAGGAGATCTCTGGGCAAGACTAACCTTATGAAAACAAAAAGGGGCAGTAACTCTTCCATATACAGTTGAACCAAACTACTGTTCAGGATAGCATAACTTCATGTCATGGTATTTAATCTCTACCAAGTTTGAAAGACACCAGTAGAAAATTGATTTCATTTTGGGGTGAGTGCACATCCCCATCTGTTTTTTTCTATAAATCTAGGTTTTTTTTTGTTTCTTTTTAAAGTTTGTTTCAACCAATTTTGACCATTATTATCACTGATGAGTTCTAGAAGGACAAAACAACTGTATGTTGCAACTTAATTCATTGCTCTATATATACTGTATCTAATTCTAAATTAAATTTTGTAATGAAAGCACAATTTTGATTAAATTAACATAAAAGCAACATGAAGAAAAATCCCCTGAAACTGTTACTCCAAACAAATAAAGGGTGTTACATTTTAATGGGTTTCTAACTTATCACCAGTTGATGTACTGATCACAGCTGAAAGCTGCAATTTGCAATGAACTTCATCTAGTATTAAGGGGCAAAGATTCATAAAAAAAATGACACTGGTACTAAGTGTACCTACTTTGATTTAGGGTCCATCTCATTGAAGGTGTCAATATTGTAGATGTGGTCAGTCCCAAACTCATCAATCATCTGAAATTCATCCACAGATTCATTTGAATTATAAATAAGAATACCTAGAGGTAAAAACATCCTAAAATAATTGGAATTATAAGTCCTAACAGTAAAAACATTAAATTTTTGTCAAAATAAGAAATGTAAAAAAATTATGCACTTCTGTAATTAGCCATCTCTTCCAATAATCAAGTTATTCACACATCACGTGAAAAAAACAAATTTCGACATTCTCACTATATCATCTTATAATGTTGGAAAATATGTGTGGTATTTTTAAAATTGTATTTCTTTCACGAAATACAAAATATTGGATACTATTGAATGCAATGCTTTTGATTGCACTATTAAGAACATTCTGATGTTAGCAAGAAGTTTATATTTCATTACAGCATCATACAAACACTGGGCTGGCTGAACAGTATTCTTTAACTATAAAGCTAAACTATACACTTACTATATTTGAGCAATCAAATATCATCAATCAGCAAAGATCACTACAACTATCCTACAAACCATCTGGTGATTTAATGGACTATAATGAACTATCTAGGGTCTTATGTATTACAAACTAACAAAGCCAAATACAGATTATCTTCACACTGATGTACCTGGTATTGTGTAGGAACTACGGTCAAGGGGGACAGATTATCTTTGCACTGATGTACCTAGTATTCTGTAGGAACAAAGATCAAGGAGGATGGATTATCTTTGCACTGATGTACCTGGTATTCTGTAGGAACAAGGTCAAGGAGAACAGTTCATCTTCACACTGATGTACCTGGTATTCCATGGTAACTAAGGTCAAGGGGGACAGATTATCTTCACACTGATGTACCTAGTAGGAACAAAGATCAAGGAGGACGGATTATCTTTCGATTGATGTACCTGGTATTCTATGGTAACTAAGGTCAAGGGGGACAGATTATCTTCACACTGATGTACCTAGTAGGAACAAAGATCAAGGAGGACGGATTATCTTTCGATTGATGTACCTGGTATTCTATGGTAACTAAGGTCAAGGGGGACAGATTATCTTTGCACTGATGTACCTGGTATTGTGTAAGTGTGCAAGCAAAGGAGTAATAATGATCTTTGGACTGATATGATGTACCTGGTACCAGAACTTGCATCTGATGCATAATATGGGAATTTAGGCCGAGAGAGTTAACTATCTTAGGTCTGATGTATTCTATGACAATCAAGGCTAGGCAGGGTGGATTATCTTGGGGTATATGTATTCTATGTGAACCAAGGCTAGGCAGGGTGGATTATCTTGGGGGCATATGTATTCTATGTGAACCCAGGCTAGGAAGGGTGGATTATCTTGGGGCATATGTACTCTATGTGAACCAAGGCTAGGAAGGGTGGATCATTTTGGGGTATATGTATTCTATGTGAACCAAAGCTAGGCAGGGTGGGTTATTTTGGGGCAAACATATTCTATGGGAACCCTGAAAGCCAAGTAGAGGGGATTATCTAGAGTTTTCAGTATTACAGGAAATGAATTGGAAATGTTACCTCTTTAAGGAACTGCACACCAATCTGTTTGAAAAGTGGGTCATCAAAGTCCAACAGAAGGTTGCTGCAATGACATAAATAAGATATACAGTATGTTCCAGCCTGCTGAAAGTTATGTACAACTTCTTTAATTTGAAAAATTCTCAGTAGCATCCATGACATTTATACCAAAACATTTACCCTCATCTCAACATTAAGTGGTTACTTTGTATATAAACCAAATCTGTTAAGCATTTTGAAGATATCAAATAGATTCAAATTGGATGCAACATAATCATGAACAGATGAACCATCCTACATGTACAACTTTCTCTCCTTCCTAAAATTATGAAGGCATAAAGATAATATCATTTCATTGATTTCTTTGTAAATGTTATTCAAGTTACCATAAAAAAACCTTACCAACAATAGGTTCCGTTGAACCCTGCCCAGTCTGGCAATCTAGAAACATTGGACTCAGGAAATAGCCTACAAATAAAACAGTGAAGCAAGTATTATCTCAATTTTGATCACCACTTGACGATTGTACAGTTTTACAGTGAGGAAGTTAAATGTAAATGACTGATTCATACTATCTTAAAATTATATATTAACATGTCAAAATGACTTCATGTTTAAACAAGATGTGTTTATGAAATACTATGCCCCTGGTTGCAAAAGAAATTCTGAATTCTGAACTGTACTGTGCAAGTCATATGCCAATTGCATGCAGACTTTGTGAAACGCTTATGTCTTCATTGTGAGAATGATTTGTTTTTTCACTTTCAAATGTAGGTCAAAGGTCACGGTCAAGGTCAAATCATAAAAAAACAAAAGGTACCATCAGAAAGGTCTTGTCACGAGGAACACACATGCAAAATACAAAAGCCCCACCTCTTATGGTACAATAGTTATGAGGAAGGTTAAAGTTGACAACAGAGAGCACCAAAACAACATGCCAACTGTCCTTCAATCAGGGGGCATAAAAACATGACCAGCTTATTCACATATTGTCAAATGAATTTTTCTGTCGCTACATGGAAATAAAAAACCTTGAGTAATCAATTAAATCGTGATTTTGTTTGGGATAAATGAGAGGGAAATACTGAATCTTTGTAAATTTGATACATTGATTAAATGTTTAAACTCTATTCACCATGTTATTGCCTCAGGGACATGTCCAGCAAAGCCAGGTAATACTGGAATCATTCCCAGCTCTCTCGCCCGGTCAAGAATCTTGTGTTGTAGGACCAACTGTTGGTCAATCCATGACTGAGGTAGTGGTCCACCCCATCCATGCATGTTACCCATTCTGGACCTTTCAGGGGAGATAACACATACAATTATACAATGTATGAAAGCAGGAACAACTCACATCTGGGTTGTTTTTGATCATGTTTGACAAGTGGCACAAGGGTTACTTATTTATGAAGAGGGGTAGACCTACTGTTCTGACTTTGCTCTCTGATAAGCTTTATTTCATTAAACATTTCACTGTCTGTATTTGTATTTGCAAATTTTATGCAATTTATAAGCCTGACATACTATTTAAAAGGCTGAGGATCTGTTATTCTACATTAAAAAACAAACCCCTGTTCTACTTCAGTTCTATTAGCAAAACATTGCTAATTATAAACAAGTGGTTTATGATTTCTAATGTAGCGAGGATATTATATTTCAGGATACCATACTTTGTTTAGATTTGTTTCACAAGGATATTATATTTGAATAAACCAAATTCCAATTTTCAGCAAAGGCTTATACAGTTTGTACTGTAAATGTGATAGTGTAAACTTTGATATTTAATAACCTCACATACTCACCAGGCAAGAAAGGCTGGACCACCAAAATGTCTCTGTATGTCGTACATTGTGAATCCCATTCTCATGTAGATCTGAAGTTAAACATATTTGTGGAATCATGCTGACATAAAATATCTTAAACTTAAAGATTACCATTCTTTAACAGATTTCACTATCAATCACATACATAAAATTTTTTTCAAAATGAAAACATAAAATCAAAAATATTATAAATTAAATAAAATAAATAAGGATCTCCTGTCTTGGATTAGAATCAATTTAAAAATTTGAAATATGCTTCAGTTGACCTATAAGATTTGATCCAAGCATTTTTCATCTAGTTTTATACAATAATGTACATGTATAACGAATAATTACCCGCTGAAATATAGCCTCCTGTCCGGTGAAGGCTAAAGGCATGTTGATGCCATGTAAAGCCATCCAGTCTAACTGTTGTTGCCAGTCTGTCCAGTTATACCATACAAATGAGTAATCCACCGTACACACATTCTGATAATACCGGAACCTGATAAATGGTGTACAAATTGAAATACAAGTATATAGCACTATTAGAAATAAAATTTGAAGAGCCAATTTTGACCCTGAAAAACATCTTAAAATTCCATTATCCAATACCTGTATTAATTTAAATATTAAATGATAGTGCATATTAATTTACAGGCAATGCAGACAACTAGGATATTCATTAGCAAGAAGTGACTAAGGTAAAGTTTACCTATCATTTGTAGTCACTTTTATTCCCGGGGCTGGGACCTTAGGCAGAGAGGATGGAATGTTCATCTGTTGTCCCGCCCACGTGTACTGACACCCACAGTAATTGGTTAAGTAGTAATACAGGCCCATGGCAACTGCCACTCCTGTAGTCCCAGTGATGTTGACATAGGATCCAGATGTGGTAATCTGTAAAGATAAAACAATTCTGGTATAAAACAAGACTGGCAAATATATCAAAGTTCACAATATCAAAGGTCGCTGTCCTATTCTATAATGAAATATTCTAGTCTAAGAGAGCCTTGTTCCATCTAATTACATTGTAAAAGCTGTATAGACATGGAATTAAAAAATATATATACATATGTATACAATGGCTATTTCTTAAATGCTTTTAAAACAACCAATATCAGTCTGCAATATCACCAATAATGTACATTTTTGAGAGATTTTAAGAGGACCATATGAAGAGCAGTTTTTTTTGTTACCTGAAAAGTGTCTCTATTTTTTGGTCCTAATGTAGATGATATGGCTGCTTTGAATTCACTTGCTCTCTTCCCGACAATGCGACCAATTAGAGCCTGTGCAGCAGCAGCTTGTGTCTCTGGTGTGGCTTTTGGTTTAAGGTGATCCAATGTCTGAAATTCTGTTATGAAAGATCATTTACAGGTACATTACTCATGTTATTGTCCAAGTCCAACTTTCCTCCATAGATTTCACCATCAGCAAACGACTGAATTTTCCTCACATATTTTCAAAATATGACATACATGTAAATTGAAGGTAAACTGTATACCTGATTGAAAAATTGCCAACAAACATATTTTTCAAATTGTAGGTATTAAGTGTAACATTGTTTGCAAGGATATTCTGGACTACTATGATACTGAACACCTGTGAATAACTTCAATAAGTCATTACACAATAATTACCAGTAAAGTTTATGGTCAATATTCTTATGGTATGATAAAGTATACTACATTTTGTAACAGCTTGGACCACATACATGCAAAACATATGAGTATCTATGACAATTAATTGCTGATCTTACATAATGGATGTCCGATCTTTATCTATATATCTATTTGTCTACATACATGCAGTATTCTCATTAACAGCTCAGGTTGTCATCTGAGAAAAGATATAATTAATTTTGTCTGATTTTATCTGATTTAGAACGGATATTTTCCACATGAATAAGAAAATGGATGACTTTTACAAGAAATCAATGTTTAGTCAGCTATTTTCTAAAAATAATTATTGTCACGTATAAGTTACTGTACTGCTGTGTTGAAACTCATTGAAAACATATACTTTTTACATTAATGTATCTTTTATCGTATATTCACCTTTTACAGCTCCAGCTGTAGAAACAAACAGAAGCATTGAACACACCTATGGAACAAACAAGAAAAATATGAGAATATCTGTGAATCATCTAATTAAGAATATCACTAAAAGAACTGAATAAGTACATGTAGAAATTAAATACATAATATAACAAAATAATATGATTTAGAACTATATATAAATCATATATTTACATTTTTTTGTGATAAAAGGCTAACTTATTACCTATTGTAATCCTGGTAAAACACTAGCTGCAATATATTGCTTGGCTAGAGAGAACTTGGAGTAACAATGAACTACTAACCAATCAAACATCAACAAACACCCATCCTTTAATTGTACATGTACAAACTTATGTTTGTTGCCATGCATGTATGATGGCCCCTTTGAAACTACATATGGAATTGAATATACAGTACTTGCACATCAAAAACCCGCTAAATGATATCATCCAGGTTGAGATAGGAAAAGCTATACCGTAAAACCTTTTTTTCAGAAGTCAATTCAAGACTTTGCCATTTTGTTTTAAGATTCTTGACTTAGATTGTTGAAACATAGAACTAAAAATGACACTCAATTGTTACTAATATGCCAAACCAAGTCATGTCATCATTACATGTTGCTGTTTATATCAGCCATTTACATTTTTGAGGGAGTGTATATTTGAATGCAGCACTCAAACATTGAATTGTGATGAATTCGTTCAAAGTGTAAGATATTTATAACAGTTCAATAATTTTTTTTAGAAAATCCTATAAATTATGTGATATTTTATTCTTGAGATCTAGATGAATTATCCTGGACTGTTTTGAAGTCTTTACTGAAACCAAGTATGTCATGTAACAGTGATCCACGACAAAGGAAAAAAAGGACAGTGAGTATGTTAACTGATATGGAATTTAAACAATGTAAGAAACATCAAAACATTAAAGGTCATTCAGTGTGTACACAGTAATGGTTATTTATTAGCATTTATTAGCATAAATAATGGACGCAGACTTAAAGCCTCTATGTCCATATCACATATTTACATATTGCATAGTAAGTAATTTCAGTGTTAATGGCTTATATTAGTTAATTAATGCACAATCATGTATTGAAACGGATATTTTTCCAATGTTCATCTAACATTATTTCAAATTTTATTACAGAGTCCGCATTTATGGTATTCCGCCACAAGCATACATTTCACAATTTCGGCTTAGTTGCATGTATGGAGGCACAATGTACTCATTTGAGAAGAGAGTGTATTTCAACTAGACAGGGAAATACTAGCCATTTATGCACATATTTCCGAATTCGTCTGGTCATAACTTAGGTCTAACTGGTTCATCAAACACTCATTGGAAAGATCTAACTTCTCTCCTAAGGTAACATGGGCACAATTTTTTTAAACATAAGTTAAATTTTTCCTTCTCGGAAGTTACAATCCTAGTCATTAAATACGTATATATGAATCATGCCGAACCCCTTTGGAGTACAGTATGCTACAAATGTACAGTAATAAGGGAAGTTAACCTCATTACCTCATAAAGTGAAAGTGAACAAGTAAGGATACTGGTCAGGCTTTTTAAAAATTTTGGACATGTAAATAAAGAGAATGATAAGTTGGAGAGGAAAAGTGGTGAAAGTTGAACAGGAAATATATCGAAATATCATACACAGATCCTGGTAAACGCAGGAAACATCGTAACTGTCACCAGACGGTGGCGGCGTCGTCTGTCATGTGATCACCAAGTTCGATTCGGAACTTTAATGACAGTCGTTACGTTTAACATCGAGAAATCCGAACAACAAGACTCCGCGCCAACGATGCATATTTAAACAGAGATATTAAAGCATCCTAGAGCATAACATTATCAATTTCTCAGAATAATTAAAAAGAAATGATTATCAAAAGAGTTCAGGAAAATCTTTAATTTGTTTTCAAATATTTATATAATTTCCGGTTGACAGTTTTGGCTTTTAGTAAACACCATCCACACATCCGGAACACTTCAAGATTTTCCATTGGTAGATGATCTGCGGGAATCGACCGAGGTGTTCCGACTGCTTTCTAGAATGCCTACTTCCTGGTTCACTGGATTTTATAGATAATTTCTAAAATTGAGGATTCACCTAAGTTTAATGGATTGTGTCAGTAAGGCGGATCGAAAACAGGGACACATATGCTTAACTTTTCACTCAAAGGTATGTTGATATTGTCGATTCAAGGAATTTACCATTGATCATAAATTTATCAAAAGGACAGCCTGACTGTCAAGACAGGGAAGTTGCTTTTACTCTTAGTAGTAAGCTGCACATATATACATGTATGCATGTATAATCCAACGCGTCTGAGGAGGCCAGATTTATTGTAAAATTGATTGTAATATCGAAACAGTATAATTGAAGCATATATCTTACTGTTCCAGTGACTTTTTGTCTGCTCAGTACAAGTGCAGTGTAAATTTCGCAGAAAAATATCGGAATTGCGGCTACATATTGTATATATAACTAATTGAAATTGGGAAGAAATGGTTCTTGTCTCCTGACTGGATGGATTAAAAAGATATAAAAGGTTTTCAAGTAGATATGTGATCATGGCTATCCCTCTAAAACAGATTACTTGAAATTAATGACAAATATATTGTTGTTTTTTTTTCATTTCTATAGAGAGGAATGTGTGACTGAACATCCCATATATGAGAGAACTTGACTGCATACAACATGGCTACCAGCTGGCCCCCTATTCTTCCATCCACTGTCAAATATTTTTATGGTCGGATCACACGAGAAGAGGCAGAGTGTATTCTGCAAGGACATGGAGCAACAGAGGGGCTCTACCTCCTTCGGGAGAGCATTGGAGTTCTTGGAAACTTTGCCATCAGTATCTGTCATAATAGCAAGTAAGATTTATTCACAACATGAAACTGAAATGTTTTTACAGTTTAAGGTTATGTGAACCAGGCATTTGATATCTTTCTTTGCGGAGACAATAAACAATATTTTAGTGAAATCATTTTTGACAATTATTCATGAAACAAGATGCTATCAACATCATTCCAATTAATAATTTGAAATGCAAAACCTGTATATATGCTTGCAGCTTATCAAATATATGTATATATATATTTATACAAAAGTAATTATGAGCTCTCATTTAAAAGTAGATTTATCCGAAAATCTTGGCCATTTTCATTGTGTTTATATTATGAATGCCACCTATTGATTGACTTTAACTGTTTATACAATATCATAGCTGGTTAAATATTCAATGAATTGTACGTTGAAAACATGAAACTATCAAATAGCAGGCAAGGAATGAAAAAAAAACAGAAAATGGAATTTTTTCATGTTTGTTACAATATTGTTTTTTGTTCCTTTTTTATTTCTTTCATCCTTTTTTATTTTCATATGATTGTGCTTCGTTTAATTCATGAAGGCTATATATTAGGACAAGTGTTTGATTTTAAGTTTGATTCATGTATTATACTATGCTTTTTTGGACTGAAAAACCTCTGGTAATACTGCTTTGTCTCTTAGCAGTTGACTTATTGAAATTCAGTCCCATTTATATAATTAAAAATGTATCTAAATAATTAACAAACTGGCATGGATAAGTTTTACAACAGCTGTCTTTCACTTTGTCAATTGACATTACAAGTCGTGAAAACAATTGTGATTTACACCACAAAGTGATAGTTATCCTGACCTGAAAGTTATGTGTACCCGGCATGAAACTGCATGAGTGTACCCTGTTCCCTTTGCAGCATTCACCATTACGCTATAGAGAAGCAGCATGATGGTCAGTATCGCATTGGTCAAGGCCGTCCATGCATTGGTCCTGTAGAATTGATCCAGCATCACCGTGTTGATATTGATGGCTTTATCACCGTTCCTACCCATCCTTGTAATCGACTCCCAGGCCAGTCCCCAATAGCCTTCCGTGGAATGACCTATGTTGACCTTGAAAATGCCTTATTGACTAAGGCAGAAAAAGAAAAAGTAGGACATTAAGTTATAGAATGCTCATGATCATAACTAAGCTTTGGTGTGGGTTTTTTCTTGTCAAAATAAGTTGAGGTATCAATATACATCAACTATTTTAGAAATCCTATTGATTATGATAGTAATTGTAAATACAGGAGTCTATACAAGCAGTGTGTAGATTTTAATTCATTATCAATAAATGATTGCTTTCATTTTGTTTGAAATATTGAGCAGATATTATTGTGTAACTAATCTCTTTAGCTCTCTGGTGTTGCTAAATTGTTGTGAATTTTATAATGATATAAAGGCAAGGCTTTAAAACAATGTAAAACAATGTATTACTGTGGATTTCTTCTTATTTCACACAACTGTACAATGGTGTATTTCTTTCAGATAAAACCAGAATCTATTTTTGGAGCCCAAAGACAGCACCTTATATTAAAGGTGGCACTGGATTTACACCAAAAACAACCATGGTTTCATAATAGAATTTCACGAGATGAAGCTCTACAGCGTCTGCAGAGGGACTCAGATCACCAGAATGGGAAGTTCTTGTAAGTTATCTGTTGGCTGTATAGTTTGATTCCAAATGAATCACACCATTTTTTAATCAACAGAATTTTTTAACTCAAAACATTCAAAGAAAATTTCTCTGCATTGAGTGTTTATCATAAACTGTAAATTTTCTGAAGTTGAAATTTTACTTGTTCAATGTAGCATTTTGCTCACAACCTGTTAGAGGGATAAATGATCCAACAGTATCAGAATAGATAATACTACTAAAGTTTTCACTTCACTTAATTTTCCTAATTTAAGTGAATTTAAAATTTTCAAGGATCAATTTTTAACACTAATGATGTGCAGAAATATCAGGTTTTTACAAAAGAGACTTTACTTGAATATCAGTAAAATTTCCCTCACATGTGGGTGAAACACTTCTACCAGTGTTTCCTATAGTTTTATGACACATTTCCACTGCATTAGTCTTTCATTACATAGATGGCTCATAAAATTGTTTGATATGGCAAATATAGTATCTGCATTGGACTGAAGTTTAACTAGAACAAGATTTTAACGCGAAAATCGAGAAAATAAGAACCATGCAAAAAAAACTTTTACTGTAATTGTTTTTCTAGTTACATCATTAAATTCTTCCATTGCTTTTTTGAAGTGTTCTAGTAGGGTTATATAAAATAATGTAAATTTAAATCACTACATGAAATATAAAGATAAACTACATATTCTAATAACAATTGAGAAACTAGCTTTAAGCTTATATTAATCATTCTTGTTAACCCATGACATTAGTGTCATGATACATGTTAGTAATCTGATTGCTTCAAACATCATTTGTCCTCACTTTGGAGTTGATGATCAGTTTAGCTGGTTAAACACTGTTTGACGTTTTATTGTTTTGTTGTAAGAAATATTTACTTAATATCATTTTCTTTGCAGGGTACGCTTACGTGATGACAAGAAATCTTTTGCCTTAACACTTATGTACATGAATGAGCCACGACACTACATTATACAGAAACAGTCAGGAGACGATAAGTTAGGAATTCCAGAAGGCCCCAAGTTTGATTGTCTGCTTATGGTAAGGGACATAATTTTCACAACTCATAAGTGAAAATCTTGATAAACACAGTGAAAGTTTATCTCTTATCCTCGGTAAATCTTGGGCAGCTATTTTGTTTCATTATGATAAGGGGCATAACTCATCTCATCTCCTGAATGAAAGTCTCACTGAATGTGGTGAAGGTTTTTCTCTTAAACCTTTTGACACCAATATTATGTCATCTTGGTACAAGGCAGTACTCTATGTACCCCCTATTACAAGAGCCACATTCAAGATGGTGACAGTAAGTTTTGAAGTCTCTTATTATATTGCAGCCTCATCAAAAAGTGCAAAACAAGGACATGTCTGTGAAAAATCACTCACAGAAAATAGATTCTTTCAGCATCAGCAGCTATATGATATTTATTAATGGGCATCCTGTAGTAGGGGACATCATTCTATTATTTTGCTGCACATGCAGATTTGTTTTTAACCTTTCCTCATAGTGAAGACATTTTAGAATGACATCCTGTAGCCTACAATGTGCCATACTAGAGGTTGGTTTTAACATAATGTACTACATTTTGGTATGTACATACAAAAAGTTGACATAATTATTGTCCTGACATGCTTAAAGATGATGTTCTGTGTCTTGAGTTTATCAACAAGCTCAATTTTCTGGTTTTAAATAATAGTAGTAAAATATTATATTCCATGTTGGTCAACACTGTGATATTCATTTGTATATTTAAAAAACAATGACAATAGTAAATAAAGAATATCTTCATTATTTTTGCATTTTATTTCAATCTTCTTTGAGAAATATTACTTTAGTGTTGTATAGGAAACAATACATAACATTTATATTTCAGATGAAATCTACCATTGAATAATTCATCTCATTATTATGTTCCAGATGATAGATCACTACCATAACAAGTCAGACGGTCTGTTATGTAAACTTACAAGTCCCTGTGTGGTTCCAGGATATGACACCAAGAAGCTATCTAGTAAGTCTTGGCAGTATGTGAGAGGTGACGGGGAGGAGGGTAAATTGGGAGAGGGAAATGAAAAGGAAAGCAACATAATGAAAGTTTGCTTTTGTTTGACGCTGGGTTCATAGTCCTGTGAATACCAAGGTTCATTTGTGATGAGTTTCCTTGTAGTAACTGGTGACTTCCTCACTGAACAACATATAGGAGTTATGTTGCTTGTCATCAAGATCAGTTGTGGTAAAGTGTCTTTCTCAAAGAGATATCTAAAACAGATCAGACTGATCTGTTTCCATGCACCTTTAGAACAATAACTACTATGGGTAGAGAGTGATGAAACCACCCACCTGGGATCTTCACTTTAAGTTGCCCAAGCCTATGCTTTACACACTGATAAGTAGTTATAGCCTCTGTATAATCAAAGGACAAAATCAAATGAGTGCTAAATAGAGTTAGGGAAAGAAACAGACAGGATAGTACACAGAAAGCTGAAATTAAAGGAAGAATAAGGAAGGAAAAGAAAGTTGGAAAGGAAGGAAACATGATAAAAGGAAAATGATCCTAAGAACATGGAAACAATGAATATCTATAACAATCAATTATAAAAATTAATATTTCTTATAAACTCTACATTTGTGTGTGAGAAAGACTGGATAGTGAAGGAAAAAAGACAGAGAAAGGAAAGAAATTATCAAATGAGAAAGGGAAAACATTATGGCGGGGGGAGGGGAATAATAAAGTTCTTAACCCAGCTTTCCATACATATCAGATATAAGGGATGGTTGTGGTGATAATGCTGTACATGAGTTTGAGTTATTGATGAAGACTGAGATCTGGCATCATGTTGCTTTTTATCACCATTGTTATAACAATTATCATTGTAATATGGATTTTGTTCTGATTGATTACAGAATACCTGGAGAGTTGTAGCAATAATGTAAGCTACACAAGTTCAGCTATTTTACAGCGTCAAAGCAGTGGAGAGCGTAATGTAAGCATTCTGCTACTAATAATTGGGTTGAAAATATAAGAACCTGTCTGTGAAAATTATTTAATAATAATTCTCGGTTCATCTTGACTCATATCTGTAGATCATTTGTTCAATCTACCTCTACAAAACTCTTTTTTTTTTGGCTTCATTTTATTTAGCAACCACTAAGTCCTACGTCACGAACCCCAAGTACAAAACGACAGCTACCTGCTACCCCGAAAGAGGCCACCAAAGTTGTCAACCAAAACGGTGCTGCTAATCGTCCCTCCTTGCCTTCCTCACGAAGGCCAAGTCTACCTCCACTACCAGCGCGAGATGTTTTAATCAGGGGCGAGTGGGATCCCCCTGAGGGTAAGCTACAACTTACCTGACAAACATTCACCTAAAGCTATCAAGTTAACACAAATGGATTTCATTTGTGTAATGAATACTATATAAATTAATGCAAATTAAAATACATTTCATATCATGTTTATTCTCTCAAGAAATCAACTATTGTAAAATTATATATATTTGTTAAGCTCAAAATTTTTATGGTTTTACAAAAATATGCATTTTCATTGGAACTTTGTGGATAAATCTTTTCTCACAAAACCCAATATTACTATTATGTATGTAGATCTTTATCTGCTTATCAAATCATTTACACATAAACTTGTGGATAAAGAGTAAGCACTGATTCAACTAAAATCCCGTACAAAAACTTATTTTACAGCACAAAGGACATACAGAATATACATGTATACTTTGCCTTCTTGAACTTCATTTCAACTATCCTGATTTTTTTTAAATATAAAATATTTGATAATTATCCTATACTTTATTGTAAATGGAAAAATTGATTAAGACATTAAACATTCCCAGGCTATAAGTTTAAGTTTTTTTTTTTCTACTAATAAGTTTTTTTTTGACAAAGCATGTTTTTGGGGAAAAAACATGAATGCTTCGAAAACTGATTGTATGGTATATGAAAAAACAATGAAATTAAACTCAAGACATATAAATGTATTTTGAAATATAAATAAGTCTGTATAATATATTGATTAATATTCTTGCTTTGTAGCTAATTCAAGAAGTAGAATAGCTATGGATGAGGTGGATTCTAAGATCTATGACACAGTGCCTCGAAACAAAGAGACATTCAACCTGTCAAGGGACCAGATCGTCCTGGAAGGAGATTTGGGTAAGATGGACCACTGATGAAAACCTCATGTTAAACATTTTTCCTATGTATATGGTCATTCTTTCAAACAAAATTATAGATGTACTAAAACAATTAAGTTTAGAAAAGAGTAAACATAATGATAAGGAAGTGAACTGTTGTCAACTGACAGGATACATAAGGGACCCTGTTTTGGCAGATGTTGTTAGATAACAAATATATTGTGTGGATATGTGATTACAATTAGATATAAATACCAGATACCACCAAATAATACATGGTGGAGGTTATAGGTACCACGGTTATTAGATGACAGGATGGAGATTGTAAGAAAGCATAGGACTGAATGGAACTCATAGGTCAGCAAATGACAGGATGGAGGTCACAGGTCAACAAATGTATAGATTAATTTGTGAAAATCCGAAGGCTTATCTTCCTGACTACATGAAAAACATATGTGTGTTATTTCATATTAATTAACAAGAAAAATCTTATTTTATTCAATTAAAATTTTTCCAGATTTTTCTTTTCCAAATTCAAATGCTTCCAGTGATGGATACAATGTACATGCGTGTGATGAGTTTTATTGTTTACTTTTTACTAACAACTGCCTGAATAACTGCTTTTGTATCAGCAACCAAGTACTTGGTTTTATTTTCCTTAGTGTCACTAAATGATATTTTCTATAACAACAATCCAACTCTAAAAGGTACAGTTATACAAATGATCTATTGGTGTTGAAGATGTAAAACAATAAATGTGACTTCATTTTCATACAGGCTCAGGACAGTTTGGTTCAGTAAAGAAGGGAAATTGTACACTACGTAGTGGCAAGGTGATCCCTGTGGCAGTGAAAACACTGAAAAATGAGGACATTTCTGGTCAAGCAGAGGTCTGTCAACTTGTCACTAGCTAATCTAAGTTTATGAACACTATTGGAAGACCTTTAATACACTGAAGCTTTATTTCTCCGAACCTATCATAAATGATAAATTTGCATAGATTCCAGAGAGACACAGTTTCCTCAATTTTACTGTAGTTATTATAGTTCTGTTGTTGTAATTGACTCACTTATAGTATGATACATAAATTTGGGAAACTATTCAATTGCATACATGGTACAGATATCATATTTTACTACCATGGTTACTGTCAGTTGATTACTCATGTTGGAAATCACTGTTTCCAAATATGAAACTAGTATTATCATTTTAACAGATGAAAAGAGAAGCAGAATTAATGAGCCAGCTGGTAAACCCATACATTGTCCGAATGATTGGTAAGTAGGTGGTGATATCTTAGGACCATTTTTTAAATACCATGAAACTTACAATTTTTGGGTAAAGAAATGTATCTTATTAATTTACTGGTATTTTCACCAAACCCTCTATACCTGAGAATATTAAATGCTTAATTCCACTACAAAGGAAAGTACCTTGTATGTACCAAATTTTCTGATCTCACTTACAATACCACCTTCTTCTGGAAACATTGAAAGCATAGTATCATATGATAGATCTACATGTGGAGTTATGGCCCTTTTTATATTTCCTACTTTTTTCATGCTTGCTACACATATGTCCAGGTGTATCTTTAAAAGATTTTGTAATTGTTAAACTCAGATATTCTGCCTCAGGTAATGTACAGTACAATGGTCCTTTGTTCCTTTCGATATGACAATTTGTTTGGAGCATAGACATTTATTCCTAGCATGTTTTTCCATCAGTATTAGAAAATTTGGAGTAGGGTTTGTGCTCTTCATACAAAACATTAGTTTTTGTTAATTTTTGTGATATGGAAGATGATCCAGATGTTACCTCCCTTTGTACATTATACCTACCAAGCTTTTCATTCTATATTTCACCATTGAAAAGTATAAGATAAGATATGAAATGTTACAGTAATGCTTTCACTGTTAAATTTGTTAGCTCAGTATTTGCCTAGCAATATTGTGGTGAAAATAGTGAAAAAATTAGACACTGGCAAAAAAAACCCCAGTTTTATATCAAGATGATACAATTTCTGATGTTTTTTTGTGTTGAGAAAAATCAGTCATCTTAATTGAACAAGAAGGAATTTGAAATGTTTTTGCAATGTTTTGATAGTCTTATCAAAATTTAGCATGGAATAAAAGTAGATGGACGGCATGACCACCTAAAGAATTTTCTGTCAATTATTACCATTTTTTATATGTCAATCAGACAGATTTATTTTCAACAGTATGGCATTGTATTTATCATTTCAATCAAACATTTGAAACTATTTGTAATATTGACAGCAGATTTTTCAATAATATTTTTAATTTCCAACATTAGTATAAAATGTACTAAATCATTATAATAAGATTATATCAGTGATTGGTTTAATGCACAAACTGCTTTACTTTGGACAGGGGTGTGCAGTGCTGACAATATCATGCTTGTCCTTGAACTTCTGCCAAGTGGGCCTCTCAACAGTTACCTCAAAAGTCACAAGTAAGTAATGGTCACAGCCATCGACAAGTAACTGCCAATTTAGGTAGCTGTGATTGGCTGAAGGGTCAGTCTTTGCAATGTGGTTTCACCAAAGAAATAAGTAAACATTCAGAATGTTGTCTATTTAGATGCTATATCAGTCTTATAAAATTTTGTTTTTATGATTTCTTGCTAAAAAATCAAAATTTTTGTGATAAATAGAATCTTGCATATTTTTTTTAAATGATATTAACGGATGAAATGAAACTTGTCACAAATTTTTCACTTACCTCACCAAAGGCTTTGTGAAATATAAATTTCTTAGACATGATTCATAAATCTCATATGAAATAGAAATTCCTGTGAGATATATGTATATCTTAAGTGGGCATTTTAAAAGTGTTTTTTGTATTGTGTTTTGCCATTGTGTATTTGTCAAACTACTCAACAGGGCTTTTATTTCATTGTCAATAGAGAAACCCCACAGTGGAATGTGTGCGAACTTATGTGGCAAGTAGCAGAAGGCATGAACTTTTTATCCAGTAAGAACTTTGTTCATCGTGATCTTGCAGCCAGAAATGTGTTACTCAGTAATCCACACACAGCAAAGATCAGTGACTTTGGGATGTCAAAAGCATTGGGGAGGGAAGGAAACTACTACGAGGTATGTGTTAATACTACTAACTCGTTGTCAGTGACAGATGGCTGTCTCAGGACAAAAAGAATGGCAATTAATAATGATTCCCTATCTGATATGTACATGTACCAGAGATAACTTAGAAATGGCCCATATATAAGAATGTTTTCAAAGTAGATTTCTGAAGTTGATCATTAAAGCGTGTATCTTACCATTTCTCCCAATGTTTTAAGTATGTATTGAGGCTTTGAGAAACAGTACCTGAGACTGTTTGAATTTTCACAAACATGCTTCCATGCTTAGATTGCAATATATATACATGTATATTTGAACATGGAAACACAAGTGATAAAGGAAGACATTTTTTTTACTTGTGCCCTATCCAGGCCTCAAACTCACAATCTACATCACCAAATTGCCTAGCCAAGAAATTAGACAAATGCCATAATGAACTACCCCATCCCCATAAAAGGAGGTTTGGAAACTGCAGTGATACACACTCACAAATTCCTGACATGATCACATGTCTAATTGTCTATTATGTCTATTATATGAGAACCCGGATCTCAATGTATATATACATGGATACGAATTGTACATAGTTACAATTTTGACAGGAAATTCAAATCTGAATAAATATAAATATTCCATTATGTTGCTTCTGAATGTGTTAACTGAATGTTGTATACATACAGGCCAGTGAGGCAGGAAGATGGCCTCTGAAGTGGTATGCCCCTGAATGTGTATACTACTGGAAATTTGACACCAAATCTGATGTATGGAGCTATGGAGTTACACTATGGGAGGCAACGTCTTATGGTGAAAAACCTTACAGGGTCAGTATTTGTTGTTCATGAAATTAAATCAAACTTTAGTGACACTTTTCAGTAACGGTGTCCTTTAATATTTGATAAAATTCTGAAGTTGCAAATGAGTTTTGCTTTATTATTTTAGACACATACCTTTGATTCAGGCCTAACAGGACTGAAAAGCATCACATCTTATTCTTACCAAAACTGTAAAAGAATTTTGGCCAAACTTGTTGTATGTAGTAATGGTGAGTACTGGTAATAAACATTAAATGTATTTCATATTAAATGTAGTTTGCTGTAATATTTTTACCTTGTGATTGCTTGGTTTATGTCTGTTAAACTGTGTTCTATGTATGTTTAATGTAGAGGATGAAAGGTCAAGAAATATTGGAGTTTGTGGAAAGTGGTAGAAGGCTGGACAGACCAGAGCAATGTCCAGATGATATTTACCGTATCATGATGGAATGCTGGAGATACGAGTATGTTTTGTCTCCTTTGGCACATTACTTTCCAAAGCCCATTTTGTTTTAAAAACAGAAGCATAAATTTTACCAAATTGGTTTGACATTATTTAATGCAGGTCTCAGAATAGAGTATATCAGCGTCACAACACCCTAGATACAACATATGTACCTACATGGATTTTATTTTAAATCAAAATGAGGAAATTCTGAATTTACAAATTTAAGGTATCCTGGAAACATTGATTAAAATTAAAAATAAAAGAGGAAAGAACTTTCTATGTATACTGAAACTATGGGTTTGGGTGTACAAGGAAAAAGGATATTTGTTTCAGCAATACTGAAAATCTCTAATCTGTTTCGTTACATTTCAGGAAAAGAGAACGGCCATCATTTTCTGAGTTAGCTGTGAAGATGGAATACCAGTTTAAAAGTCTGCAGCAAGATAATTACTGAGCATATCAGGTTATACTGGTGACAGATTTCACTCTTCTGTGTTGGAGGGCAGGACTTATCGTACTTATAATCTGTCCTTAATTCTCTGTGTGATATTCAACACAGTGCTACATACATTACTGGTGACAGATTTCACTCTTCTGTGTTGGAGGGCAGGACTTATCGTACTTATAATCTGTCCTTAATTCTGTGTGATATTCAACACAGTGCTACATACATTACTGGTGACAGATTTCACTCTTCTGTGTTGGAGGGCAGGACTTATCATACTTATAATCTGTCCTTAATTCTCTGTGTGATATTCAACACAGTGCTACATGCATTACTTGTGGGTGTAACATACATTACTGGTGATTATAACATATATTACTGGTATACCACAAAGTCATAATGGATAATTGACATCGAACATACTAATTCAGCTTCACATCAAGCGGAGGACAAGCCTAAACACAAAGAATGTTTCTGTCTTTCTGAGGCTGAAGTTAATCCATGAAAGTCTGTTCTAACTTTTTCCTATAGGCCAGCCACATTTACCATATTTGGTAGTGGATGGTATCAGACACATATAAAACTGTAAACTAGTATTGTTATTGAAGTATGGTTATTAATTATTAACCATCACATTTACTGAACAAATATAAAGCTATACCAATCAAAGCCTAGTATAAACACTGAGATGTTGTTGTTTTTTTAGAATATAAGAGGCAATATATGAATTATGTACATTGTGTAAATATATTTCTATAAATACAATGTGTATGGTGTGAATGTAAGTTGGAGAAGTATGTGATATCATATAAGGGCTATTCAAGTACAATATCTGCCCCATGTCAGAAACCTAGGTTTTGAAGGGTACCATCCTTAGAATTTAATTGATGATTTACTTAGAAGTAATAGGCCAAAAACATGAACTGTGGATTAAATTAATTATTTTGGAATCCTGGGATTAGGTACCAGGTAGTTGTTTTACTGGAATAGCCCTAAGTCATATTGGTTTCTGTGAAACATTAGAGTGACAGTGTAAAGTCAGAGGGTTGTTCCACCTGACACAGCAAGGGAGGCATGTCAGGAATCTGTCACAAAATCATAACATTTAAAAATCATAGAAAATAAATATGTTACTTCCATTAGTTCTTAATTATCAAAAGAAAAGTGAAAGACTTATTTCTACTGGGGAATATCTGCATGATATACTTTTCATAAAAATCCTTCTACTTACATGTACTTATTAGATACTGGAGTATCTTGTGATAATTGATACCATATCAGTATATATTTACTTCTAATACTCAGAATCTAAGCATAACACATGTCCAGTTTATATAAAAAAAATGATGGAATAAAGAAGCGTATGTTGTGTAGTTTCGCTGGTATGCTTCCTACACCTCATTCTGTGGAAATTTTGTCTTCACTCATAAACAGTATGACAGATACAGATGTAGGGTTATAATTTGGTACGTAGTTGTATGATAATAATATACAGGTCTAGTTCAGATTTAGTTTGGTTCATTCAATTTTTTCTGGATCATGGATATGTAACTCTTTAGATTTTGAGCAATTTTTCTCTAAAATTGTAGGATGTTACTCCAATTGGAATCTTAAAAATATCACTAAAAAAATGTGATGAAAATGTCTAGAGTACACACCCAAGAATGACTTCACTTGGAATGGAATTTGAACCAGGCCAGTTGATGGTTTACTTACTTAATCTTTCCTCGTCAACTGATATCGGACTTATTCTGAAAACTTTATGTGTACACCTCATAACAAAGCCAATACATTAAACAATTTCAAACTTCTCCTTGGTAGCCATTCAGGATGGATTCATTCTCTCAAAAACAACAATGCAAGCTTGTCCTTAATTTCAATTGATGAAAATTGCATATTGAAAGTTATTTCAGTTGTCACTATTTATGTAGTAATTTAGATTGTTTTCTCCTATTTACTGGCAATATTAATTCCTTTAATCCGCAAACAACTGACTGGTCTTATTTTTTTGTTAAAAAGTTTAAATTCCTTCTGGTGTTTCTCTTTCTGTGAGCAATATATAAAATTGTTTTCTCTGAGTGTCAAGTAACATTTTCAGTTTACTTGTGTGTTTTTTTAGATAATAAAACATGTTTAGGAATCATTGTTAAGTTTGTTGATTTAAATTCAAATATAAATGCTTGTATATTCAAGATGTTGATATCAAAATATTATTGACTAAATCTATAAGATGGAGAGGTATAGACTCTCACTAATTTTATGTACATGTGCTTGTATATATATACAATATGTATTCAGTCCCTGAAAGATCTCTTACTAAACACATACATGTAACACTGTATGTAGGATTTGATGTGCTTATTGAGGAAATACAGGTGGTTTCTTGTTGTTACCACAAGTGATCAGGTTTATCATTCTTGTTTTCATGTGTGTCAAGTAAGTTAAAGACAAATGTCACATTTATTGTGTCAGAGTTGAAAAATGATATAAAAAAATCAAAAATTTTGAATTACATATCTTCTGTTGCTGGCCATCTCTCAAATTAAAATTTTAACTTTAACTTAATTAAAACTATATATATGAATGTTATCTCTCCAATTAATTAACACAATTTATCCTACGAAATATCAGCGTTGATTTTGTTGATGTTGCCAGGACTGCATTTTTTATTTGAATTAGCATGTTATATCAAGTCATATTTATATTATTTGTTCCAACAACAGTTTTCAGAATATCAATTTCATTGTAGAATATGAATTACAATACTTTTCAATACATTTATTTAGTTTTCAATTCTGGTATTGATTCTATAAGACTTTTATCAGCATGAAACATTTAATCTAGTTCTTTATGTAGAAAATATTATACAAACTGTATAAAAAGAGTTGCCAAACCACTGACAAAAAGGGTATGATCAGATAATTATCTTGAATATAGTCATATGAAATAGGTAAACTGAACCTGTTATAAAAGTCTGGATTATTTCTTCGTTGACAAATATCTTTTTTTTAATATACTTTTTGTTATCTTGAGTTTATCTGCCTGTGTCTTGGCTTCACCAAAGTTAAATTCTACCCTCAGTGATAAGTAAATTAATTGTTATCAATATTTTTTATCAATAGACCAATCCTCAAAAATGTTTATTTTTGACAAGTCTGTTTTGAATTAAATCATTTTAACCTGTTTTGTATAACATTGCATTTTGAAATCTGGTTTGTTCTATACATCAGTGAAAGGATGTTGTAGATAATGTTTTACATTAGAGTTTTTAAAGAAATTTGCTTTAAAGTAAATGGTATAGATGGAACGCTGACCCTCAGAAAACAGAAAGTAAAAAACACTTACCTACATTACAGTCATGACACTATATTTAACAAGATCACAGGGAATGGTGGACAAATGTGGGTATGAAGAAAGCTTATTGTCTGTGATGTCATTCTACAGTATTGCTGATGGAATAAACCTCAGAAAAATGTAACTCGGAAATGTATGTTTTAGGGATAAGTAAAGGTCAAATTAACGAGAGAAAAACCCTTATCTGCCTGAATTTTCCACCAGGAGGGAAAAGATCTCATTTGAATTTAACAAAACTTCCAAGTCTAAACATTTGATGTATTTTAGATAATTTTTTGTTCATTTAACTGAAATGCAGAATACATTTTTTTTAAGTCTGGTTGAAATTGTGCAAAGTTGTATAATGTTAGGCAACAATAATTTCAAGTGCAATATTTGTTTAACTGAGTTAAAAAGCTAGCTTCATACGAAACAGTTCTATCACATAATTATGAAAGAAATGTTAATTTGGGTGAAATCTGGATTATCCTCTGTTCCTTTGTTACATGAGCATGTCATGTGTTGTGCACGTGTGTTTCATGTGTGTGTATCACAAGTGAATTCTATGGGTATGTAGCATAGCTAGTAACTGTAACTACAAATGTAGCAAAGCTTATTACCATTTACTATAGTGTATTGGGTGACCTCAGCTTGCAGCCACCAACATTGTTGTCACTCTGGAATAGAGAGATATAGCAGGTAATACTATTTAAGTTGGTAAGATTGGAAGAGGAGGAAGGATTGAAGGGGCTGGGATGGGGAGGGGGAATTGAAAGGGATGGATGGAGAGGGGGAATTGAAATGATAATTACATAAATATGTTGATATGTTCAAAAACAACTTTGTACAGTATGTTCAATTTTTTTCTTCTGACAAATTCATTAACTAGACACAGAGTATGTCTTTATTCACTCAACTAGCTAGACACAGTGTATGTCTTTATTCCCTCAGCTAGCTAGACACAGTGTATGTGTTTATTCCTTCAGCTAGCTAGACACAGTGTATGTGTTTATTCCTTCAGCTAGCTAGACACAGTGTATGTGTTTATTCCTTCAGCTAACTAGACACAGTGTATGTGTTTATTCCTTCAGCTAGCTAGACACATCATATGTCTTCATTCCACAGTTTATGTCTTTACTTCCCCAGCTAGACACAACCTACCCAGGTATGTCTTTCTTCCCTTGGCAAATAGACACTTTTGTTTGTTGATGCATGTACTTACTTATATGTCATTCCATAATATGTCAGTATGTACAATCATTGTTTGCATGATCACAATCATTTAATCATATAATCACAATCACTTATAAGTACAATAAGGATTATGTTGACATAAAATGTTGATGTTATTACAGATTAATTTCTTGTTGAAGTTTACTGTGGTATCTGGAGAAAGCAAAGCTTCTGAAGTAATAAACCAATCACATTGTCAGACAAAAATGATACCTTCTTAGATAATGGTCAATGGATGTCAGAGTTATCATCATGTTATCATAATAATTCATCTAACATATTTGTTTTTTTCATTTGTTTAATTTTTTGTAAAACAATGTACTTTGATGTTATTTTTTTTTCACATTTCTTGTACTTAATGTTTATATCATCTCAGATTTACACTAGTGCTAATATTACTGTAAAGCATTTCAAATAGATTTAAATTGCTTGAATGGGAGAATGATTTTATTTGTAAATAAGGCTACATTCAAACCTTCATATTTGGGGTGTTTTTTTTTTTTTTTTGTAAATTTGATTTATGTTATACAGGCCGGTCCACGCTGTCTAGTGATTGGGTGGTTTGTGTATAATGACCAAAGAGGCAGGTCTTAATTATGTTTGGTATTTAAATTAATAGCTTTAATTAATAAGGTCAACAGCTGTAAACAGGTGCTTTTAATTGTGATGTAACGACTTTGTGACTGACCACTTTGCTAATCCAGATAAAAACATCCCAGTATGATATCTTTACAGTTATACAAAATGTATGAGTGATTTGGTAGTGTTGCTTCAAACATTTAGAAAGAATGTCAAATGTTCATTAATATATGTTTTGTATAAATTGTATACTTCAAATCTTTTGTATATCAAAGCATATCAAGTGAAATATATTCCTTATATGTGTAAACATTCCATTATTTACACCTCTGTACAATTGTACACTATTGTTATATTGATATATGATAAATTCTGTCTCCTTTTGATAAATTCTGTTATTGTAATATATTATGCCCATACCATCCCTGTTATAAGAGATAAAAAGCAAACATACATGTTTGTGTAAAGATTGAATGTTTGATTGAAATTTATTTTTCTGATGTGCTTGATGATAAATAATGCAAACATAAGTCACTACAGCAGTCAACACATGGGAAAATAAATAAAGACCCGACCTGCTGGTAGATCATTTTATACGGGAGATGAATTCAGTACAGTACAGAATATTTTTTTGACATGATAGTCAAGTTATCTTATTAGTCTATAATGCCTCTTTTCATGTGACTCAGCTGTTATATACAAGCTAGCTTGACTGTCATGTGACATGAAAGTCATGTGACATGACTTAGACATCAACTTATCAAAACGTCTATGGAATAGGACTCTGGTATGACATACATACTTGTATGTGGATGGTCTTTGTTGGGATGGTTTTGTGACCTTGGCCTTAGGCTTAAAAATACCTCAAGGTCGCCAATATATTGGTCATAAATACGTACATGGGTTATCCCTTTTTCTGATATGATATATAAGTCATGTAGGGAAGTTCACATCATGTGTTTTGATCTATTTCAATACATTTTATCATCAGTATCAATGTATTTCTCATTTGTCTATGAAATAAAAATCGCCTTCAAACTCAAACTTTCACTTACACTTATTGCATGTCTCTCGGTCTCCATCTCAACATATAGCCCTATGTGTCAGTATACATGGACTCATT